CCATAATTTTGATCGCATATAAAGCTAAGTCTAATCAACCGAATTTAAAAGAATTATATATGAAATAGGGGTAGAAAAGACTGAAAAATATAATAAAATTAGAAATAGATAGATATCTCCAAATTTGCGGAAATTAATATGTTCAGAGTATTCTAAAATGTCGCAATATTGCATTGAAATCGCATGTCCCCACGTACGATTTGACGTGGCGCGTGGCATGACGGATCTTCCACCCGGCGGCGTTCCCGGGGAAGACGTATACGCGACGCGGACGCGACTTCCTAAAACCCTGACTTAATTAATTTATATATATAAGCGTCGATATGTTCCGAGATACAATGGCTCTATATCTGACTAATCGTAGATTTGTCATTTCAATAAAAAAATTCTGACTCACCACGCCGATGTGCAACGGGCTGAGTTGTTCAGCCACGTAGCTACGATGATACTGTAACATACAAACATAAGATTCAAATTAAAGAAGCGTTCAAAATAATCAACATTTTTCAAAATATAATTTTTACGCGCAACTAATTTGTTTTTCAATAAAATATTTAGCAACACAATCATCTGTGTTCACCGAAAACGATCTTTATAAGAGTAAAATTTTAGATAATCTTTTTCTCTAATTATTTTTAATTTATCGAGATAAAACAATTCGAATAAATAAAAAAAAACTATTTTAATTTTACGCAGATATAAAGAGATGATACTCACCCCAAGGTTGCTCCGCCGGTGCCCGATGCCTCTCCCAGGCCTCCTCCTCCTCTCAGGGGATACTTAGGCTTCATCGTCTCACCGCACAGGACACTCGCGAGAAACACTCGCGGATAATAAACTACAATCGCGCGCGGACTAATTTCATTAAAAGTCTTTCTCACGCGATACTGTACGGCACTCCCGTTTAGAAAAGTCCTTTAGTCCGATTACTTGAACGGCACTCCCGAAGCAAACGCGACGAACCGGCTGCGGTTCGTTCATTCAATTAAATCGGCGGACGAGGGTACGTTAGCTTCCCCGTCTTTGAATTTTTATCCAAGCAGAACAAGAGTTTTGCTTGGGTAAAATCCTCGTACTGGGTACTGGAGCCTTCCCACCTCGCCAAGGTCGTACCCGTGGGAAGGAAAAGTACTTTTCTCTGTAATATAAAAGCGGGTAACATGAATTTTTCATGCAAATTTGAAGGAGTCGCGACGCCGCGTGCTCCGCGTCGTTCCGCGTTCATCACCGCGTTACCGGCGTTACGTTGTTAATGGGCGACGTAATAATGGGCGACGAAATGTTCCGAGATGTTGGCAACTTGGCGCGATACTACGCAAGTCGAGCGGACGGTTAATAAAGACACGCACTTCGTCAATCAGAGATACGCTGTTGAAATTAAATATCGCACGCACAATACGTTACCAAACTCGTAAATCGAGATTATGAAGCATTCACGAACGGGCGATGTATCGCGGCGTTCCGTTATCACCGATCGAATCACCGGAATCACTTGACACGATCAATATCTCTCAGCCCTTTTTCCCTACGGAGAATCGGAGCTAAATCACACGACACGTCCGGCACGTCAGCGTTCTTCGCGAATCCAGACATGGCGGGAGGAGCGACTGTCACTCGCGAATATCACAGCGCGAAACTGCAAAGCAAGTCGTTCATACATACCTCCGCCTCGACGTCTCGAGTGAGCGCGTCGCGCGACACGTTCATTCCGATAAACACCTCATACACTCGTAAATTGTTTTACACACACGGCACACGGCACACACGGCACACGGCGCGCGGTACTCGATCGCGTAGCGCGTATTCCCGCGGCCCGCGAAACGAGGAAGCAGGAATGCCAATCACCGAAACGAGCGCGTTCCGAAAACAGCACGAAGCACGGTGACGTCGGTGACGAGCGCGCGCGAAGCACAAACACTTCCTACCGGTGCGAGATTCCTCGGAAGAATGATAACTGAGTCACTCACGCAGGTAACACTACTCCGAGCGTTGACGGAAACAAGTGACAAGTCCGCTCATCGCCAGAAACAACGTTGAAAACGCGCCGATCTTCGAGGTACGGAGCTTTCGAGTTCAACGGTCACGCCGCTAGTACGGACTGCGCAGGTGCCTACACTGCCTACTACATCACCGTCACCGTATCGATCCGCCGCGCCGGCGGCGCGGAGCGGCGCATGACGTCACGGCCTACGCGCGCGGCCGCGGCCGGTTCAAAAATACCGAAAACTTTCAACGAACAATAAAAGACAACGTATGCCGAATCTTTCGTTAACTTTCACAGGTTTAACTGGCTGTATTCTACGTTCTGCGTTCTGTCTCGGTGGTGTCTGGTCGACGTAGCTGTCTCTCGAAACGCGAGTGTTATATACATATATCGCGAACACGTAGTGATCATTAGCCTGGCGATTACGTAACTCCCTCATACTACGTTTACGCGAGCGTTACTTCTGTAGTAACTTACGATATATCATTCGTTTACGCGGAGTAACGTATCGTAAGTTACTACAAAATCCCGTTTACGCGACGGACGTATCGTAAGTTACTACAGAAGTAACGCTCGCATAAACGTAGTAACAGTCAGTACGTGAGGGATATCGAGGCGACGGTGGCTGTTTACGCGGAACAGATATTTTTGCGCGATTTATCTATATTTAAAAAATATAATATAAAATAAGGTAAAAAAATATATAATATAAAATAAGGTAAAAATATCATCAACAGGTGCAATCAGATGCAACTCCCGGGCCGGCCGAGCGCGCGGCCGCCGCGGCCAGAATAATATCCCCTCCAGCTGGCTAGTTCAGACACGAACCATTAGCACGGACGCAAACCATGTGCGGTTACCGAGCGATACGACGTAGTTGAGTTGCACTTTCTCAGGCGGCGCGTCGGAAAATGCAACACAGCAACACACGAAAAAGACCGGGATGGCCTCTCTCAGGTTTCTCTCTGATAAACGACAATAAACGATCGCGTGTTTCGAGCTTTCAGGAAGTACAATACATGCGTGTGCATCTGTGTCACGTATTCACAGATAACCGTGATTTATGCAGGCCGGGATTACCCGGCTTTCCGTATAGTTTCTGTGCCGTGAATTTTTCGAGTAATACGCTACGGCACACGCTACTCGACGGTCCACTCCAGTGTGAAACGTTTTGCTCTGGGCTTGCCCGTCGTCTGCTTTTGTCACGCCCACGTTTTCCCCGTCGAGAGTCAAGATTTCTGTCCCAGTCCGGTTCCCCATTCTTCCGTCGAGCTGACAATCGGCAACACACGAAGTTCTTGCGACAGACAATGCAACCCGTAAAATCATGAAGTTTTACGAGGTAATTGACACTTCTCGTGTACTTGTAATCTGTGTTCTTTTTTTTGGGAGGAGACAAATCGAATGTTTTTTTTTTTTCTGTTAAGCAGAATCCGGATTGCGTGCCTCTTGAGGAACTGCAGCTGAATATCAAGAATGACGGGGTGGTTGTTGTGATAAATGCGTTGGTACGTTAATTTCTGTAACGTGGCATTGTAAAGATTCGTGTCCGTCAGAATTCATGGCTCCTGTTTCACTCTGACACCAACGACTGTGTGTAAATGAGCCAGATGTTTGATATTCAGGTTCCTGTGTATTGACGAATATTGAATTTTAGAATGCCAAATGGGCGGACGAGCGTTACTTCCTACGTTACGAAGTGCCGGAGATATACGATGAAGATGGGTCAGAAATTGTGGGTGCTAAGGATCGCTGGCTGGAGGTTGTGAATTACATCATTGAGGATCTAAATTGGTTACTGGACCTTCCGTTTTATCGGTACAACACGTCTCTTGATAGCTTTGACACTGTTAACAGCGTGTAACAGTTACACTACAAGCAGTTTTCCTTTATTTAGATTCTGGTCCAACATTGTGTACAATGCCTCGATTATGGATACATTGGTATCTTTTTTACAAGAGGCCCCGCCGTTCTACACGTTAGAAAATTTTCCTGCCGAACCGAAGATGCTCGAGGCATTGGAAAATCTTCATCATAACGTACTTATCATCTTTGCACGTCTCTGCACGAATAAGAAGAGTCCGGGGGAATATATGAGCCGTCCGTTCCTTGGGAATTTGTTATACGACAATTATATATTTACAATACCAATTATATTTGATCTGTGTCAACTGTACGGTAGAGAAAATGCCAAAGTAGTGGAAAAAATTATACATAGTGTATTTAGTCTACAGCCAATGTACAATGACGACCTTCAGAAGTCTGTGCCGTGCCTTATAAAGGTAATGTTATACTGTTATAACTTTTTGTATCATATTTTGATCGTTGGCTGTATTCATGTAAGAAACATCCGTTATAAATATGAATTTAATAAATATAACTAATTGTTCAGAGTTAAATTTGCTTAAAAATGTGATTATCAATCATTGTATGATCAAAAATTAAGTAGAAACTTGCAGATTATAAGGAAATTGCTATAATTTTGGTTTCAGTTGAGTTAATTAATCATTCTTGCTACCGTAGGCTCTCGAAAATGTTGAACGGAGATTCGAGGATTATCCAAGTGATGCGACTGAAGCAGTAGCACTTTCAGAGAGAGGAAGCTCCATTGAGATGACGTTGTATAATTTAGAGGATTTGATACTCTATGTTCTAGATGTATCATCAACTCTTACTGCGTTATTAAGAAGCTATTCTCCAGTAACTGCCACATTTCACACAGATGACTTCATAAACAAGTGAATAAACACTCTTTTACTATTGGCATTTAATTAATGTAACAGATTTTATAATACTTCGGCAACACATTGATGCTCAACTGTTGAGTATTAAACCAATTTGTTTAATACTTAACAGTTTTTACTAAATCTAAGTTCTCTTATTTGTACACCTATACACTTTGTTCAAACTTGCAATATATTATTATGCGATATTTTTATATTGGTGCCACTATATTGTTTCTGTTTGCTAGGATAGTTTCATTATATGGAAGTACAATACCTGAGATGTATAAAAAGTTAGATAAGTTAGCATATAACGAGGAAAGTATGCCAAAGTACATTGAATTGAAGCATCGTCTCGATGTAACCAGAGTGGAAATGTTAAACGTTTATCGAATTATTATCTATGAACCTATATTAAATATTCAGGAAAAGCTGTAAGTATGAAAGAGAACCACTTTATAAAAGTAATTTATATGGATCATCCTGATTAAAAGATTTATTTACTAACGTTACATCTGCAGAAACACAATAACGGAAGACGAGATAAGAAATTGCATAGATGAATATTTAAATTTACTAATAAATGCTATATCTGAAAAAGAATTCATTATAGATTATCATCAGTTTTACCCGATTGATATTGATCTAAAAAATATGACCAAACTTTGTCCTGAAGTGTATCCTTTTTTTTAAAGAAATTACAATATTGTAATTATACAAAGAGAAATTTTTAAATTTTAATTTCCTTTACGTATTCAATGATCAGTGATACAATAAAATGCGAGTATATATTACAATCATTGCATGCATCAATTGGAGATACTAAGACGTCAGCTAGTGCATCTCTCAATAATACTAATGTAAGTAACAATCTTGCAAATATATGCATAGGTTATTTAAAAACTTTCTGTCATTATGTACTACATTATAGATGGCTGTTGCTGGATCTAGCGGTGTTCAAAGCAATCAACAAAAAAAACATTCCAACGATGTGAATTGCGTAAACAATAAGACGGACTTTGCTTCAGAAGATCCTTTCAACATAATGGCTCTCATCTCGGAAGTAAAAGAAGTTTTGTGCAATTTTGACTATGGTGAAGGTTTCATACAGGTAAGATATTTGTATATATATTAAGTTTATTAATTTATAAATAGAAGTAATGGACGAAAAGCAAAACATTAAATTTTCCAAATAAAGGATATATTAAATAGCATTTTTATAAATTTGTGCAATCTAAAACTTTCAGCTATGTTTAAAGCATTATAATTATAACGTTGAATCTGTGATAAATGCAGTTTTGGAGGATGATTTACCACGTAATTTGAAAGAATTTGATAAGACAATACCATATATACCACCGGATCCAATGGTAAGTGATAAAATAATTTTTGTGCTATATGACAAGCCAAAATAGCGAAAATTAATCTGCATTATGTATTATTTTAGGAAACGTCGGCTGCTGCGGCACCTGCTGTTGTAAATCTGGCCAGCAATTTTCAAGAATTAGATATTTCTTACAACACTGAATTCGAAATTTTGACAGAGAACTTTGCAGAGTCGGAGACAAGGAAAAAGTAAGTCATTGAATTTGTACAAAATTACATGTTTTTTAACAGTCCTGTTATAATTAAATATACCTTTTTTTTCTAGGAAAGGTAGATACAGAAATGCTAATGAAATGCTGAATGACAAGTCTGAAATTAAGAAATCGTGGAATATTTATGAAAAGTACAGCCTTGTCGTCGATGAATACGATGATGAATATGACGACACATATGATAGTCATGACATTCGTGGTAGCGCACCGGACGATTCCACAGAAATAGACGTTAGGCCTTTCACCACTCCGAGGGTTAGTTTAAATATTCTTTAGCTTTAATTTATAATTTTACGTGAATTTTGTTTTCTATGCAACAAATTTGTTACGCAGATATTTCAAACACGCGATAAAAATAATGCTAGCTCGGAGGATGACGATGAGAATGAAGAAGAGAAACCTGTACAGAATAACGACCATTTCATACAAAATCCAGCGGAATTGCGCGCTAAAGCTGAACAGCGAAGACAATCCGTAAGAGATGGCAGAAATGCTCACGATGTAAACGGTAAATTGCAAATTTATTAAATTTCTTTAAAACCATTTACAGAGTTTTATTAAGCTATTAAAACATACGATAACAGATACAAAATAAAATACTTTAATTTTTATTCGACAAATGTACAAAATCGCTGTTTCAACTTATAGAAATATATTATTTGTATTTACATATTATGTGCAATGAAATAGTGATCTATTACATTTCGGAATGGTATCTGATATAACATTAATTATATAGTATATTTAATACTTTTAACTAGGTGCTTAACAAATAATCACTTTAATCGCGTTCATCTTTTGTTTGATTATTGATCTGTTTACTTGTTCACATGTTACCGATTGAAAAGCTTTGGTAACATTTGACGATTCAATAAAACTTGCATTCATTGAGTTATATTCAGATTTTAAATTGTAATTTTTTATTTTTTTTAAGGCAAGCCAACAGGTCAAAAGCAAGACAAGAACGGCTCGACTAATAATAGGAAGAAAAATATAAACAAAGCTTCACAAGGCAATCACAATCGGCGCATAGGTGCCCAGATTAAAAGAAACCGAGGAATGATTCCATCTTAAAGCGGCACATTTTCGCAAACGCAAAAGATTAGACGATGTACATACTGCCAAGCAATGAACATCTTTACTTTGTTATTTAATCATCCCACAGAAATAAACATTCTTATAATTTCTACTCCTCTGATTAATTATTTCGAACCAATAACTTTAACGAATAAAAACACATTTTTGTGAAAATAATTTTATAAAAAAAAACATATATGTTCTATGTATGTTAGTTTTAGAAATTTTTAGAGGAACGTGTTGTACTTGTTCAATGGTCCTTTACTATAGTTAACGCTCTCAGTCTATTTAATTCAGTATTAATAATTCGCTGATGTTCCTCCTCAGGTATCATGCTCGATGTGAATTCAGAAGAACATTGAATAGGCATTAATTGCGTGTATAACTGTGTCGCGTGCCCGTAATAATTTAATTGTATCGTGATCACTGCGTGAATGCTCGGATTGATGTATTCCAATCTTTTCCCGAGAAACGTGGGTAATTCCGTGAGTAACTGAGCGTGTATAGTCTTCAACTCTTTAGCAGCTGCCTCCTCCGCTCGTCGCTCTCTCTCCAGCTTCGCGATGTGGCTCGCAGTCCTGTCCTTTTTCTCTTGTAATTTTTTTACACGATTATACACGTATTTCCACGTAGCTACTAGTTCCTCACGCTTTGCTATCGCTGCAGCAATGGTGATAAATTCATTTCTGAACTTTTTTAGAGGTTCGATAAATGTCTTATGGCACAAGCTGCTGATTTCCTGAACGTTCTTTCCCACCTGACAGCGAGACAGTGTGATTAGCGTGAATTATAGTATCCCGAGGGGAAATGTTAACGTCATTAGGTATAAACATGTTAACTTACTTGTGTAGCAACAGAATAGTACTCTTCCACTATTTTTCTACATTCATTATTATTCTGTGCTAGCCCGCAATTGATGAGATTTGTACTTAATCGTTGATCAGCTCTGTCTAGATTCGTCAGAGCTCCTATATATTTCTTCATCTCCTTGGTCAACTTTCTTATCGCGCTCTCAACACTTGGAAAGAAAACCGATATTGTAATACATTCAAATATCTTTTTAAGTAACAAGTGTGATGCATAAAAATCTAGTTCAGAGAGAAACAGTCGAAAGCAATTGCACTTGACAAAAGTACAAAAGGTCGCACTGTACAAACTTTTTAATACTGAACAATTTTATCGAATGTACGTACTAGATGAGCTTTTGGACAACAACGTCCAATTCTTTATCTTCCGTATAAGACAAAAGTGGCGACGCAGAAGTTGGCCTCTGGGTCAAATAGTTCTTCTTCAAAGGATTCCTGCTCGTACAATATACATATCTCATGTAAGTTCGCGATCTGATAGACAGATATTGAAGAATCGACGCATTTTGGAAGTTAGTTACTTACCACGTCATATTCAATGTCGATCAACAAATGTTAGCATAACAATTGTTTACATCTATATGGATGATTCTAAAGTTCAGACGATAATTTTGCAGGATGCTGTTGCAGCTGTCTGCAATCTTTATCCGGATCTCAGAATTATCGGGCGACTCGTGAACATTCATGCACGTATATCTTTGACGAAATTACGATAAATTGTTTGTATAATCAGAAAACAGCTGTGGCACCCACTTTTGTTTTAGGCGCAGAAAGTGCAGTAGACCCGCAAGGCGCACCGCGCAAAACGACGCGTCGATAAAGAAGAAAAATCAAGAAGCCATTTCAGCTATATTGCATTAAATTTATACGACGTTGTTGCAATATAGTCGAAATGTTTCTTGACTTTTCTTGCTTAATGAAAATGTAATTTCTGAAAAGAATTACAAATTATTCCCTACCTACGTTTTAGCTAAGCCCCTATATACGTACGGACATGCGATTTTAATGCAATATTTCGACATTTTAGAACACTCTGAACATATATAAAAATATCAACGTATTATCTATGTACGTTATCATCCTATGTTATTTTTTATTTTATAATATCGGCGTTTCTTACTAAAGAAGAATAAGAGAAAGAAGTAAAGAAGTACGCCATTATTTCGTGAGAGGCCCTGATTCACTGATTGTTGATCAACAGATGCAATCAGATGCAACTCCCGGGCCGGCCAGAATAATATCTAATATCCCCTCCAGCTGGCTAGTTCGGACACGAACCATTAGCACGGACGCAAACCATGTGCGGTTACCGAGCGATACGACGTAGTTGAGTTGCACTTTCTCAGGTTTCTCTCTGGAGTCTCTGGTCCAGTCCAGGTTTGTCAGGGTCACACTGAACGCACCAGCGGACTGCGATCAGCTGAGCGATCAGAGGAGCCAGTTTACGTCGCGTGGAAGGCGAGGAGATTCGAGACGGCGATGTTTCCGGCGTACGCGCACTTGTCGGCTTACGACAGGCACAAGAAACTCGTGAACGACTACCTGACAGTCTACGGGAAATCTGTATCGTCGTTCACACGAGACACGTATGTTGAATCTTTCGGTTTTACATTAGCGGATATTCGGTGGAAGCTAATTTTGTTATCATCGGACAGCGACAAGTGATATCTTGTCACTTTGTTGAGATCCTCGTTTCGATCGACTCCGCTTTCTACAATTTTACTTTGTTTTTCTTGTTTTCTTCAACGGCTGAATGCCCTGGCAGTATCCCCGAGAATATTTGAGTAAAGTTTATCCATGGTTATTTTGTAATTGTATATTATATATTATGTTGCATTATTTTACATTAAAGTGTAAAAATATTATCGGATTCGTGAATGCTTTCTTCCCGAATTGTAACCTTTTTTAAGATTCTTATATTTTATAGTTATACTATATAGAAAATATGATGTAAACCGAAAAGCTAGAAGAGCTACTATACTTTTAAGAGGCGCATAATTTACGTCATTTCCTCGCGATGGATTTATCATTAATTAGTAGCATGAAAGTTATAATTTGATAAAATTTGTAATAAACAGCACTTGACGTTTCGAGGTCCCGAGACAAAACTGATTACGATGTCATCAGAGAGAACCACAAGTTTCTCTGGGAGCAAGAGGACATTCCAGACACATGGGGTGCAAAATTAGCTAAGAAATACTATGACAAATTGTTCAAGGAGTACTGCATATGTGATCTTACATATTACAAACATAATAAGGTACGAAATGTCTTTATTACGTATTTGTATCTCCGTATTGATTATATGGTGAATTGATTATAAAAATAATTATGAGTAAGTTACATTATTAGTTTGATATGCGTAGGTTGCTTTGAGATGGAGAACCGAGAAGGAAGTAATAGTTGGAAAAGGACAGTTTGAGTGTGGCAGTAAAACGTGCAAGGAGAAAGAGAATTTGCGTTCTTGGGAGCTTAATTTTGGCTATGTGGAACACGGCGAAAAGAAGAATGCACTAGTAAAATTAAGTATGTTTTATAATCAGTTTAAAGACAAAAACAATTATATGTATGAGACTGCTCCGCATAATTAATTATTTCTTTTTTCTTTTTATGTTAAGGACTTTGCCCAGAATGCTCGGTAAAACTCAATTATCGATCACAAAAGCGGGAGGTGAAAAGGGGAAAGTCTTTGAAACGTTTAGACACAAATTCCGAAAGTAGCAACGATGTGGCTACTGTATCCAGTACTCTAGAATCAGATAATAGAGCGGAGATAGATTCCAGATCGGCTGAAATACAAAGCAGTGAAAATACTGACACGAATGAGTCGAATATCTGGAAAGAAAAACCAACTGAAGACGCGGAAAAGACAAGAGAGAAAGAATTTGAGGAATATTTGGCAGATTTGCTTATGTAAACGCGATTAGTAATCATAATTTATTTTTCATTTGATGTTTTATTGTAAATAGATATTGAAGAAAATAATTTCATTTCTTATGTTCGATTTCTTGCAAGGATGTTAGAATGTATGACTGTTAGTACAGTCATATATATGTATAATAGTATTATTAAACAATAAAATTTTTATTGTATAATAAAATATTTCATATATAAAAGATATTATTTTAATGAGATACCTTTTATGCATTTAAAAGAAATTTGTGAGAAAGCGGTACTTATTATAATTTAATAAAAATAGAATTATATTGTTATGTAAGTTCTTACTTTAAACTCTTATAATGTTAGGCAATGTTTAATTTGTGTACAAAAAATTTATTTGCATTATTTTTTTTTTTTATTTGAAGCATGCACGTTGCGTCTCTATTTATTTATTTCGTCTCTTTATAGTGTAGAATTGTAGACAAAAGAAGGGAAATAATAAATTAAATTTGAATTTAGAATTGTATTGTTTGGAAGTTGTATTTATACCACTTCTTATTTAATTATATTTTCCTGATAATTTAACGTTTTTTGAGAATTGAAAATTTTGCGGTTGATTTATTACCGACCGAGATAAGTTACATGGTCCTCTTATAAATTACGGATAAAATTTTTAATTTTTAAAAATCGACAAAGTATCAAGATAAGATTCGATAAGAGGTAACACTAATCGAAATTTTAAGAGAATCACGATCGTAAAATTTTTAAAAATTATGTTTGTGGATTCAAATCATTAGAATTTAAATTAGAATATTTATGAAGTAATATAACGGGATATGAGGTAGTATAAGTCATAATTCCGAGTCTTGTGATATCAAAAACTCTAATTTTATTTATCTCTTCTTTTGTCTACATTGTGAGCAATATTATAAACTAAAAAGGGGCAAGATAAATAACAAATCTAGACACGGTAGACACGCATGCCCCAAATATGCTAAAAATTAGTACAATTTCAGTATTAAGGCATTTATGGTGCCTAGTACAGATTATACAGATTACAATAATATGTTACTGTTAATATGGTAACAAAATATTTTCCTGCCAAAAAATATAAATAATTTATAGGGTTTGCATGAATGAAGATTTATATATTGATATTTTCAGAAAGCTTTTCAGGATATCTTTTTAAACCTTAAAGTATTAGAATTATGTAAAATGGAATAAATTTGTATTATTTTGTGTGGGTGTGTGCATGTGTGTTAATTTCATATTAATAGATCAACATTCTTTTGCATTCAATTTTTTTCTATTACGTATTTTATGACAAGTTTTCAATATGTCCTACATTTGATCGTATACAAAATTGAATATTGTCTTATTTTCTTGCGTAAAAGCTTATCTAATATTTTTTAACATAAATCTAGTAATTTTTTGTCTTAAATCAGAATTATACATTTTATTTTTCATTATCTAATGAATTAAAATTAATATCTATTAGCTACTTATGTAATTATTAATTCAAAAAATGATTGTATAAGATTATACTTTATATTTGTTCTGTACACCTATCCTAAATTGCACAATTCACTATTGTTAGAGTTTGTAGCATCTCGTTCAACTTCTATCATTCGATTATGACTTTAGTATAAGCTTATATTGCATATAAAAGGAGCGAGTAATCAATTTTACAATAAGTTCAATGTCGTTGATGTCTTCTACTATCAAAACTTCAATATAATACTCCTCAACTTTAATATATATATATGTATATATATATATATATAATCATACGAAGTTAATATACAACATATACAATGCTAATAAAATCTGTTACGTGTTGTGTATAATTCAATGTTCAATCTGAATATTTTATAATATGAATATTTGTGCGCTAATTATTACATTATTAATAATGTCCCAACTACAAAAGTATTAAATATGTTCTCTGAAGAACTATAATCGATATAAGTATTGCCAGGTTTCATCTTTTATATCGACATCGTTAAAAAAATCTAAATTACTATGTATACTTTGGGACTAAATATTGTTAACGCAGCTGAAACGCGTCGTATGGTACAATGATTCCTCGAAAATTCTACATATATCATATATCAATCATTTCATTTCTCAGTCAATTTCAGTTACGTAAAATGAAAAGTAGCACCGAGTATCATAAAATATGACTTCAGTTGCAATTCGCGTTTCTTGTAGATAGTCTCATTTGATTAGCTTGCTTCTGCGAATCGCTATCTTCATCGCTACAATCCTCGTCGTGCGTATGCGTAACATTACGTGGCGTTTCCGGTCTCGCATGTGGAATTTGATTATTAAAATGGTCCACATATAAATTCTTCTAAACAAAAAGAAGATATGGAATACATTACTGAGACTTCCATGTCAATCAATTAATATCATGACGACGATGTTTTTATAAATACTCACGGAAGAAGGCCGATTGTGTTCTTCTTCCTCGTCTACCAGTTTAAATGTTCTCGAACGGCTTATCATCGGCGTTTCCATAACAAACCTTTGTTCATGTGCTACCGTACTCTCATGAGGCATCTGAAAGCGTAATAAGGAGGATTTATGACTGTCTCTGTACAACTTGGATAAATCGTCTATCCCAAATACGCCGTAACAACTTACCAGCATAGCAGGTGCTCTGAACATGTATGAAAAGGGGTAGTAAATCAGATTCAAGAAAGTCGCTGCGTACAGATCGGCATACCTTACGACTTGACTGCTGAAAAACGTTTGTCTACTTCCGCTACGAAATAGGGAACCCATCATGCCGTAAGCTAAATCCATTTTGTGTGTGACATCCCTTATGGACGCGCGTAACTTGGAAATATCCGGCTTTTCTTTCGTACTACTGTCTAAATTTCTAAACAAAGTAGTTGCAACGTTAATAAAAATACGTTGCGAGTATTTTATATAAAATATTTATTACCGATTATACTACTTACTTATACATTTCCCCGAGCATAACGTCTAGACTCTGTAATTCGGCAAACAATTGACACTTATCGGTCCAAACGTGTAACTCCTGAACCAGCTCGGGGACTATTAAAAATGTCCTCCAGCCCTTTATTTTCTTGCTTTTTAAAATATCACCAAATATGTGGTCACCAACATATAAGACATCTTTTCCTTTCGCGCCGATTAATTCTGTAAAGACGTCGCACGAGCCTCCCGAGTACACTTCCCCTTTTAATAAAAATCAAGAATTAAAAATGTCACTTGTGGTCAAGCAGAGTTTTCTAAATTACATTTGTTAAAGTTAATATTAAAGTTGAATTTTCTAAATTATATTTGCTAAAGTTAAGTTAATATTTCTTTGTTACCTGTATGAAGTGGTCCTTTGTGTGTACCAAGTTTTAAAGCACCCGTTCTCGTGTCCACTTGTCGTAAGATTGTTCCTTCTCCAAAGAACAACGGCTTTCTGGCGTCTACCACAATTGTGTCAAAATAGGTTTTCCAGTTTCTATGCGGTTCATCAGGCTGAAATGAAAGTAATGTATCAGAAATCTATTTATACTTAGTATATATCTTGTGTGAATATGCTTCATCATGAGTATATTTCTCGCATTTAACAAGCGAGAGAGATATTATCTTATGAATAAAAAATTTCTCATATACAGATATACAGAATCTATTCTAATAAGTTAGATAACTATAAAGGATCAAAATTTTATTAGTGTCTTAAATGTTTTATTAAAAATTTACATATTTAATTTCGAGGAATTCTTCAAATTATTAACTAAATTATTAACGTTGAATAAATAACAAATATAGCTCGTTAATTTGTTTGGAGCAATTAATTTCAAGAATGGTGACAGTGAATGAGAAAAAACGTACCCGTGCACCGTGTGGAAAATCGAACAAATAAGTCATAATTTTGTCCGTGAAAACGTAATCACTGTTAGTTAATAAAAACACTCTCGCTCCACTCTCTCGGATTCTCGTAAGGAACATAGGCAACCTCTCGTCCTTCTTTACGTATTCATCTAAGTTCTCGATAGTCTTCGATTTCAGATCACCATGAAGGTGTATCCAATCTACCGCGTTTCGGACGTCCTGAAATATGCTTTTGAAGCTCATGGTGAGCTCACCTTCTTTCACTCCGGTCTTTTCTCTGGTATATTGCGGCGAGTTTGTGAAAAAATCTATCAGACACGCCAGCAGATAGGTCTCCGGTAGATTGAACAAGGTATTGAGCACGTAAACTCTAGACTCGTCTAATTGTAGAAATTTATTTGGATAAAGCTCGTAGACCTGAGAGCTGAAATGGAACAAACGAAGTAGAGATAAGAGAAAGAGAAATAAGAGAATATAAGCTGTGCGAGAAAGGCGCAAGCGTAATTTTTATCCCTTACTGTTTCAAGAACTCGAAGCCGTGGACACAGACCAAGATGTTCCCGTAAGCGTCCACTTTCAAGAGATTCCCGTGTAAGGTATCGAACCATAATCCACGAACGGGAAAACTGGGATCGTATTCGAAGGCCTTGATTTCCTGCGGATACCCCAGGGACACTAGACGATCCTTGAGCAGATTGAAGCCCAATTGCTCATACTGTGGCGACTTGTATTCTAAAATGTTATATAATATATTTATCTATATGTAATTTCGTTTATCTCAGCTTCTCTTCTAGAAAAAAAGGAAGAGACATAATTACCTGCCAATGTGTAATCCATATCGAAGCCATAGAACTTGATGTTCTCCAAATGAAGACTCCGATTGACGAAGATCCTGCGAAGAGTGATTTATCGATTAAGAAACATAATTACATTGATTTACGATGATTGTAATTTATAAATTTGTAAAGTACGCGATCAATTTGATTTAATGAGGAAAATTCAGCGAGACCTATAGGCGACGATTCGTCGCGGGTTACCGATGACAAACTCGTTCCCCTCAAGATCTTCCTGCTGATAGAGAAATGATAATCGTGGTATTCTCATAATATCGGAATCAACTTCTCGCTCGTATTGTATGCCGCTTTTCGAAATAGCAATCATTTTGTTACGATATTAAAGGCGGGAAAAGCTGATGGGTACGTTAGATTTGACGTGTTGGACAAATCGCGATACTACAGCGCTGGTAATCGAGTAACAAAAGATTGTTCTCTCTCATTCATTTCATTTCTTTTGTTGTTAAATTACACTAATTACTGTGTGCCAAAGAAGATATATAAATCTACTCTCCAATATAATAACTTTCACAACGCAATGACTATAACGAAATGGTTCTTCAAATTCCACTATTAATTTTTTAATATTAAGCTTAATTTTTAATTTTATATTTTTTAATATCTCGTTCTCGGTAATTTAACTTAGCTTAAACTCCGTTTAACGCGTCGAATTCAATTTCGATAAGATCAAGCGCGTCTTCCTCAGACAGACGCTTCTGTCTTCTGTGAAAGCTCGTACAGGAGTAGCGGTCGTTTTCGATGTCACTATGTGATTAAATTAATAATCTCGCGTGAAGCCACAAAGATTACGTTACTTATCATCGCTCGAGGCATTCGTGTTGAAAATTATGCATTTTGAAGTCGAGACACACTTTCGGCCCAACTTTCGAATGTGTCAGAATCGTCGAGCCGACAGACACATTCCGCAGCAACTTTTTATAACGCTAATTGCGATCAAACATAGAGTGCGTATCCAACACGAACGTTTAATTTCTCTATTTCGTAATCTCGATCATAAAAAACTTAAAAATTCCCTGGATTTCTTTTATCGTTACGATTTCTTTTATCAGTATGATAAAAAAATGGTTTTAATCTTTGACAATAGAAAGTCATAAAGCTATAACATCGACGTAAGATGAGTATTCTATTCTAATCAGAAAGCAAAAAGATTGGCATGCATATGCATAACAGAAACGTTAGACAGTTAGCAAACTACATAAGTAATTTTAAAAAGAATAGAGGAATACGAGAAAAAAATAATCCCGAAAATTTTGAAAATGTAAACAGCTCTTTTTAAAATCTTTAGAAACTGCTTCGCATTTTCCTATAAAACAAAAAAATTGAAATATTCTTATTTTATATCGCTCTTGCGGCGATGACTAGAACGTTCACATCTACATATCGCATTTCCGCTCTGCGTCGGGCTTACATCAGCCGTTTGATTCCCTTTTTCTTTTCGATTTTACATCAGTCGAATTTTCTTCGCGTGAATTGTTTTTTTTTTACTCGAATTTTTACGAATTTACATGACTAAAATGGAGGACGGTTAACTTACTCATTCTGGACGCACTGTCGCGAATTCACAAAATTCGCAGTTGGCGTGGCGTCGTCGTTCGCATCCTTCAGCCACATTTTTTCGCGGAATATCAACAAATCATCAGTACCCTGAGATCGATTTGTATTTACGTTATCCAGCAACAATGTATCAGATGCAATAAAGCCGCTAAAGAGATCGGGACAAAAACTCGGGACAATATAGTCTAGAGAACTCCGAATTTCCGGTAACAATATAACGATAAATGTGACGTAATATAATAGATGGTATTAATAAATATATCGAGCTAACTCAGATTATGTGTTGTAAGAACAAAAATGAAACTCAATCGGCCTACGCATCGACCTAGAAATTCTTGTTTCTTTCACGTTCCGCATTTATTCCTTTAGAATATAAATATTTCATTAAAAACTATCTTGTACAATTACTATCCAAATTTAGTACGTAAGATTTTCTTACTTATAAATTATATTCGCGATTTGACACACAGAGTTGTAAATTAAAATAAAATTCCGCCCGAATTCCGTGTAAAACGGTTTTACAATAAAGACATTGTCACAATAAAGAGAATTATCATTTGTCGCGCTACTGGTAACGCTGGGTCAACGAATATACACTTTCGATAAATAATTCTAAGATGCAAAAATCTCGAGATAGTTTTTTTTTTACCGAAATTGGATAAAGACGTCAAAGAAGAGGAAAAAAATATCGCGATAACCAGCCGATAAAACGTGACACGCTGACACGAGTAGAACACAAAGAGGACGTGTGTTCGAAAGAAAGCTGTTCATACAAAGCGCTCCGCGAAATCTTCCAGCGTGTTCGTCAGATCGTCCTGAGTCAGAAAATGTCATCTACTCCCAATGACGCACCACACGCGGACGAAAGCTCTCGAGTCGGATTACCGCAACGTAAGTCGCAGTTCGAAGCGAGCGAACGAGCGTGAAAGGCGTTGCTTTGACGGTGAAAGAACAAGAAACGACGACGACGATGACGACGACAACGACGGCGACGATGCTGTTCGCTCAATGACCAAACGTCAACTGGTCCGTGGTGAGCCGCCGGAGTCGATTAATACACAACGATGGGAGCTAATTCATCGTCTTCCGGACATAAACCTCCCCCAATCCGACGGGGATTGCGTGCAGGACGGTTGTTCAAGTTCCAGCGACGGTTAGATCAGAGTGTTCGGTACATTTGTGTTCGCCTGGGATTCACTTGGTAATTACGTCGCCGCTACACGACGGCGAAATCGCATGGTGCACCGCCCAAAAAGCGTGCGAACGAAAACGTGCAATCCCCCTTGTTCTTTTCATTTTCATCGTTTTCTCCTCCGACCCGCCCCGAGTACACGACGCGACGCGAGAGGGAAAGCTCGTTGTTCCTTTTCTTCTCCTTTTTTTTTTTAATATCGATACCGGAGGTGTTCTCGCGTACTTTAACGCGAACGATAAACGGTTCACGCGAATTCAACGCGCCAGGTGAGTCATATCACCTTGTGCTTGGTATACACGCGTGAGAACTTGGCCGTATCCAGTCTAATTTTAGACGTCCCGAAAGCGTTTCGATCCTACGTTTGCACGTATGCCGAGTGAACTTTAAGTTCCGACAACCGACAAGGCTCACATTACCGTATTGCACGGTATGCGGTGTCCCACCCGTCCGACCGGTACGGATTCGAGTATGCGACTAGAGATCGCATATTTGTACGACTCGATCGAATTTGTTGATAGAATGCCAAGTATGCATATAGTATATATATATTTTTTTTTACAAAATAATGGTCTGCGAAAGAAACAAAATGAAATGTACATTAATGATAATAACAATAAATAATATATATGTACATTGCTTTCTCTTTCGAATTTATTCTCTCATAAGATTATTAAAGTTTCTTCTTACAGAGCTGGATATTTCCGTTTGTGGCATATTGCGGCTGGTACCGGCGCGAAACGAGGCTCGATTACGTGCCTTAATATCTATTCTAAGGATATCGAGATGTTCTAACGATCAATTTCGCGTAATCTTGTTAATCGTTCCTAGATACAACCTTCTTGGACGTATCTCGCACCATGGATTTTTAGTTAAGTCGGTCAAAGCGCTGCACAAGAGGATGTATGTGCATACCGGCACGCAAGTCACGGCTGAGGCACGCACCGCTTGCACTTTCACCAGTAATTTATTCGCGGTATCTACCGCGCCACGCGTCTACGTTACATCTGCGCATAAAATTATTTCAATAATTAATTTGCTTGATTAATGACAGGTATAATAAGACTGACGGGAGAAAGAATGGAAAATTTGAAATTTAAATCCCTAAAAGAGAGATTTAGATTGAGCGTTATTCTCCCGATTCGGGAGATCTAATATAGATCTAATATAGATAGGAGAAACCACAGAAAATTTGAGAAATACCATACATATTGTTCTTAATTATCAATCCGCTGTATCCAACGTACATCGGGCATTACTCGATGCTGTATAGCTGAGGCGTTGATAAAGCGTTTTATGGCGCAACGCTAATAACGACATGAATGAATTACACGCGCGTTTACTATTGCGACGTGGAGCTTCTCATCACGTTGCCAGAAGTGTCTGCCAGTGACTCGAAATAAGTTGCGCACGTTGCGTAAGTTCTTGATAGTTACTTTTATACGTTCACGGTGGATAAAGACGGTGATTACGGACGAATGACCGCACGCACATCGGTGCCCTAAAAAAAATGTGCATTTTAAGGAGAGCAATTAAAGTTTTCGAAGAGATAATTTTTTAAGATACATCTACATTTAAATCCTCATAATTTGTTTAAGTTCTTGTTATCACGACATTTGTATGACGATTATTAGTAGAGCTTAGAAAGATTTCTAAGAGAGCGTTTCCAATCACGTCGCTTTACGTGCAAAGCTCCAACGTTTTATTATTAATTTTATTACTAATTATATCAATATAACATCGAGAGGACTTTTAGATCTAAAATTTATTATTTGTTGTACAAAAATTAATTGTTGTTACAAAGACTATCTGCCAAGCGTTGCCTGGCATTCTTTCGATCAAGGATTGACAATTTTACGCGTGCAAATTCTTTTTTTTTTGTTTTGTTATTATTATGATGGCGCAATTCTTGTGAAGCAATACTTTGCTTGATTACATTACAACGTCAGTTGTCGTTGCTGCTATCTGCTTAGTGAAGAAACTTGTTTGCGTCGCTGGAAATTTTTGTCGCTTTATCGCAATTGACTCACAAAAGCATCTTGACTGTTCTTGGTCCAACAGATTACGACGAACATGCAATACGGGGATGAGAAGAGGAACGCTTTAGCGACCGTGCGTATAGAGATAATACTTTCTTATGAAATCGTTATATCGAGAATTACTGATCTTCTCGCTACTATTTATACGTCATACATAAATACGAATAAACTGAATGAATACATACCAAAAATGGCTTATTTGAAATTGTATTATACATATATAAATTAATAATTATTAATTCTAGGTGTAGTGAAAAAAAAAAAAACAGATTTGCCAATTTTCTGAGTTATTAATTTTAGACAGTAAATTAATTTTATACTTTATACATGCATATAGCTTTTATAACTTTAAATATGCATATATATTTGCAAAAAAAAGGAAGAAAGAGAAAAAAGAGAGAGAAGAAAATATATAAAAAATAATTTATAAATGTATATATTTATATCTAAATATTTCGCTGAATAGCCGCGGGTATCGTGAGAATTATGAGAATTATAAGTCGGAAACAATTACACGCGATGAAATAACTGCCGTTGGCACAATGAAATTCTAAGAAAGATTGCTGAAGAATGTTGTAGTGTGACGAAACTCCTTTATTATCTAATAATACCATTGAGCGCGTTAATCTATCGCGATTAGTCTCTCTATATACGGTTTTGATTAGTCTCCTGCATTGTTCTCGTACATTATAGTAATGATGAAATAGCGAGCATGTTCGCACTCTTAGAAATACCTGTAGAAAGGAAGATAAGGCGTAAATATAATGGCTATTTCTGTCTTCAACGAGAAGACGATCAATTATAGAGCTTAAGGAGATGTCCTCGAGCTTCGAGATTTGGCGCTACTTCACCGTCTAACACAATAAGACGATAAATTTCATCGTTGATAAATCGCGACGACATTTTGTATATTTAGATGCACGAATTAATCCATGATTGACTTGAAAATCGTCGCAGTTACTCAAGATACAAGAGATTATACATTCAAAGAGTGTAGCATTAAAATGCAGCCTCAAAAAAATCTATTCTCATATTCCTCGCTGTTTTCTTCACCAGGGACACGACATCCTGTATACAGTTTCTGTTACAAAGAAAACACGTGTAACAAACGCGAGACGAAAATAGCGCATGTAATGTAACGCGAGTAGAAAAAGAGGAATCGTTTGATAAATTAGAATCAGTTAAGCTTTCGTCTAACAATAAGTTTAAGTCTCTCTTCTTTTAAATTACGATCTTCCGTGATCGCAAGATGGACATGACCCAAATCCACGGATGTGCCGGTAATAAAATCCGCGAGTTTGATACAGCGGATGTGCCGGATTCAAAGCGGCAATCGATCGCGAGCGATGCCTCCGAAGAGGAGGCGTATACCTCTCGGTCTTCGCATCAGCCCCGTTACACGAGCACTGCAGATCGTTGTGCAGCAAGCGTGCGCACATTATCGGGAGATGCGACGCCGCGTGCATATATCCTCGGTTTCCCGGACCACGTGAAAACCTATATTTTCCCGGACGCAAAATCGATGGTCGCGACACGACGCGCGAAAACTCCTCGCTCCGCGCGAGGAAATTCCAATCCCGGATGCCGCCGGATGCGAGAGAACCGGGAGGATCTCACCATATAGCCAAGATTCGTCTCGTCTCCGAAGAGAGACACTTAAATCTCTCTCTCTCCAAGAGATATCGTTGTCTTCGGTGCTCGCGCGTAGATAAACGAGTGACCGAAAGTATCCCGTCATTCCTCGCCAGTACGCGATGCGCGTTAATTTCAATAGCATCGAAAAGCAATCGCGCGTGTCGCAACATCTCGCAGGATGTCTTCTCTGGCACTAGGAAGTATAGCGTGATCGAAACGCGAAGTAAAATAAGTTAAAATTAGGCTGAAAACTCGACATTACTGACCCGGGGCCAGATTCTATAATTGGAGTAAGGTTTGCCGGTGAACTGGCGGGGTGAAATTGTCTCGCGCGTCGGCCATCGAAGTCGCCTTATCACGTATTAATAACACGCATCAATCTTGACCTCACTCCGCTTTCACCCCGGCTTAATATGCAGAATCCTATAGATTTACCTGTGCCCCAGTTCGCGCTTATCACTGCGGGCGCCGTGCGTGCCCTCGATGTAATAGCTGTCCAGGTCTTGCTCGCTACGATCGTTCCTGGTCAGTTCTACGTTAAGGCCGAGCATGGTACGGCCGAGCATGGTACGGTGGATCGATTCCTCGGGGAATACGTTCGAGTCATCCGGGAATCGCAACCTCGGTCCTGCACCGTGAAATTCGAGTCGTCTCTTCGTTCCAATTAAAGGGTTCTGGGTTCCCACGGTAATAAAGTAAGCCCGCAATTCGTAAGACCCGTATCTCTACGTGGCGATTCTCGACAATAAGAGCGGTATATAACCGCGACAAAAGGTGAGACAGACCGCGTTGAATTTACGAGCGCGAGAGTCTGCAGAGCCCGACATAATTGGAGCAAGGCGAAAGATTCGCGCGAAATAAACCGTCCAACGTTTGTTCGGCGCATTTAAAACTGGATTTTACGGATTGCGAGCTCGTCTCATTGCGTCGAACCCTATACGATCCGTCTCCGAAAAAGTTATTTAGAAGAGAATAATGGCCTTGCACACGCTGATAATATAATTAGCGAGATGCCTCACACGCGGCGTATCAGCTTAAGTACCATTTATCGTGTGATATTTTCCAACGAGCGAACTAAAGTCCAATCGCAGAGATAGATTAGATATATTAATGCCTAAATAAATCGTGCGGCTCGATCTAAAATTCGGGAAAGCTACAGAGAAAGCGACGCGTGCAACTACATTAATTAAAACACACCAAAAAAAAAAATAGAGAGAAGAAGATAATTACCAATAGCGTAGCTCGCCGGCGTAATGACCACGTCGACATTTCGTTGAGTCATCGCGCAAAATAACGTCGCGAAAAACTGATTGCCGATCACGTATAGTCCTTCGAAGCCCTCGACTTCCGTCCCACACGAGCGTTAATGTCGTAATGACGGGACGGCACTTTCGACCGTGAATCCGTGAACAAACAACGCGGATTCGCGGCCCGGCGCGAACGGAGAGGCGATAAGAATGCGGCGGATCAGAACCCGAGGGTCAAATCGCGTGATGAAAGCGATGGAGAAGGCGGGATAATCGCGGCTCGCGTGATACGCCGCGATTTTCATCGTTTTCTTATATTCTCGGACGTCAAGTCGCAACGAATCTTTCGGGTCAGAAGGCGAGAACGAGCGAACGAGAATGCGAAGCGGGAGCATTCTGCCGCAGCAACGATAGTATATACTTTCTTTATAGGTATCGTTAGCCTTGAAAAACCACGAGAAAATAATATACATTTCAAAATCGGGCGTGTATCGACAGTACGTGTTCGGATATATGTGTTTTTGGAACGTGGTATATCTCCATGTGTCTTCAGCAGAGATAACGGTGGTAATAACTAATAACGCATATCGTTGCTCTTAATTAGATTGGACTTACACTTAAAAATTCCTTTACATGTCAAATTTTCATGGCTTCTATAATTTTCTTTTTTAATTAAACGACTATATATTTGCACGAAGAATTTAACAGACTCGGTGTGAAAAAAGGCTGCAAATAATGCATCCTCTAAATTACCTGTTTTTAATTTATGGTTTATAAGGCGAAGAAACTTTTTCCATATTCTTCCTTCAAATAGGATATTACTTGAGAAATATTTTACATATATAATATATTACATATTCTCTTGAGATTATTTTTCTTACGAATATGTATTTGTGTATATCTCGCTGCGTGACATTAGCCATGGAAAAAGAGAATGTCGAGCGGCTTCCCGAAATACTTCGCGACCGAAGTGTATCATTTAAACGAGTTATTTTTGTACGGTACACATGGATTCGTTTTCGAAAATGCGTAGATTACATCGGTATTTTCGATGCTGTCGCAACTATTAGAACGGATATATTATTAGTCCGGAAATATTCCAGAAATCTATTTATATACTTGTAGCATAACCTACACCCCACTTAACGTTGCTTAAATCGTCACAAATTAAATTTAAAGCTGATCGCAAAACCGTCGCTCGATAATAAGAAGCTTGATAATAAGAATCTGTTTTACAATAGCTATTTAGAGTACTCTTTAGTCATTTGTATCAATAAAAACTAAAAACAGCATAAACATATAGGAAAAACTCAAGTATTTGCGACGATTATACGTGTAAAAACGAATAATTAAATTTATGCTTCTTATCTACGCATATACTTCATCATTTATGTAGCAAAGTTATATTATCCATAGAAAATAAAATTATTAGATACTTGTGTTTTATTTTATTTAGACAAATGCACTCTGTCTATATCTTTTTCTATCAAAATATATTCAGTGTCGCTCCCAGACGAAACGCATCGTGTTTAAACATTCGGCGTGATTTATCGCTGTGTATTAAGAAAATATGAATCTAATAACTTATATTTAATTTTATTTATAATAATTAATATTTATTTATATGTAATGATATAAATCTAATCTTTTCAGTGTTTAATTTAATATTATATGTAACTGTTTACCTGATTTTATTTTATATTCAACTTTCTGAACGCTCATAAATAGCTGCTAAAAGACAACTTTTAATCGTGATGTACGGGTATCTAGGTCGCTGAATTTACACATTCGTTATCCAAATATTGAATATTCAAAAGGAAAACGCTGTCACAAGAGCTTCGAACTTGTGACGTAAAGACGACACGACAGGTGTACACAGGTGACAAGAGGCGGCCTGTGAATGCCGATTCACTAACCTTTGGCTGGCCTGCCGGTACCACTTCTTGTTACCGCTCGGATCGTTGTCGTTCTGTGGCGTGTTAGGCCCCGTGTTCTCCTGATCTCCGTGCGCATTGCAGTTTTCAACCTCCATGATTAGCTGCAAACGCAATTTATGCAACATTCAATGAGATCTTTTCTCCGAACACTCAACGCTACTATGCGTGCATGTGTGCGTACGTATTTACGCATGTGTGTGACGATTGTTAATATAAATATATTAAGAGATAAATACAGAGTCATCAAATTTAATATTTAATTCTTAATAGCAAGACAAAGTTAGCACGAAGAAAATTCTCTCACAAGTAAAACAGAAAAAATACGAAAGAGCTCTAATGAGCTATAATAACTCAAAGATTCGAGTTTTATTAAGAGTGAACGGAAAATCGGTCACGTAATGACTATGGCTGCATTCCGATATTTATTGTCAGTATAACTGTCAGTCCTGAAAATCTAAGTATACGTCATTGTCATTATATACGTAAAAAGTGTAAGGTTCGCGCCAATATTCGCGCTTGTTTGTGTTTCGTAGCGCGGATCGAACGTTTTGTAAGAAAAGCAATTCGTGGTCACTCGCGAAATGCAATAAAGGCGAGGACACCACGAAACCGGCGACGGTTTCGACGGGGCTCGGTTTCCGACACGGACAGGCGAGGGAAATTGCCTCGCGATTTACGATCCGTCGGGCATCTCTGCCCGACGGTAAATCGATATCGCGTGTCGCGCCGAAATCCGAGCTCGATGAAACGATCGCCGGGTTTCGAGTTCTCCGGGCGGAGAGAAAGTGAGAAAATACACGGTTAACCGGGCGCAATCGCAACCCCGCACGCGGCCCAGATATCAGCGGCGCCGGCGGCGTTATCGCTCTCCGCGTCGGAATTGCGGGATCGACGGTGACTCGCCGAATCGAGAATTCGAACCGGCGAGCGCGTCCGTCCGTTGCTCCGAAATCGTCCTCGCGGTGTAGGTATTGTTTACACGCGTTAAACGCGCGGAGGAAAGGTAAACAGCTTGTTCGCGCTTTCTCGCTCTTTCCCTCACGCGTGCACACACGCACGTCGGCCCACGCACCCTTCGCGCCGTCAACGTGAGGTTAGCGCGAAAACGAACGTCCGTTCTCGTTACCTCGTCGGCAAGATCCCTTATCGCTTTTTACGACGGATGTGAAAGTTGACGGTTCCCGCTCGTAAGAATCGCTCGTGACGCTGCGAACTGTCATTTGAGACTCGACAGACCGGCCGATATCCAACCGCACCGCACCGCACCCTCCTACGATGCAACTTCACGGCGCACTGAGGTCAATTCACTGAACTGCGGCGACCTCGGCCGGCAGGTGCGCCAACCGGTCGCGGCGAAAAGTCCCCAGCGCGGCGCGCGGCGCACCGAGCGACGTGAGGGGAAAAAAACTCGGTGCCTTTTGGCGTCTTTGCGATCGGGAACCAATCGCGATGAACAAACGTGAGCGATTACTCGTGGAAACGGATGCGCGGGGGATTAACGAGGCCCAACGGGGACGCGACGCGTTCCTGATTGTGGCGGCATTGCCGAGCGCGAAAATGCAAATCGGAGTAGATGATAGAAGTCGCGGCATGCAAGAGATGCATCTTGGAAATCGAGAACGAGAAAGAGATTTTTTTTTTTTAATGGCATCGAACGAGAAGTTTTGCGCGTTTCTCGCATGGCGATATGTTTCGATAGATGCAGCATACCACTTCTTATAGATATATATATTATCCTTAAAAATGCATGCGTGTGTAATGTAATCTCTGAGCTATAATATGCATTTCGTAATATTACTCTCATTGCTTTCAGATAATTCGCGCTTTTTTGCCCTCGTAGGATTCTTTTTTCTTATCCGATGCGTTTATAGTAGCTTCTCGAAGTCAGGGGAGAAAGGTCGATGCAAATCATTAATAATGAATGTAATAATTAATGTAAAGGGAGAGATATACGGGGAAAGGACAGGGATCGATTCCAGGAAGTCGCGTTACAGCGCTCGCTCTCGTATCTTCGCACACTCGCCCGCAATATCGGACATAAATAAGTACCAAACGCAAATTGCATCGCGCTGCAAAGATGAGATGTCATTCCCTCCTCGAGCAAAGTCGCGCTCTTTCCAAAAATCATTCGAACGAGATTAGTCTGACGCGTGCAATGCAAGGTGCAAGGGGCTGAAGAGCGCTGCGTCGAGTCTCCTTCCTCCTCTTCTCCTCGGATTTTCGGCGGCATGCACAGGACGACGGAGAAGGGCGCGCGACGCGGGCACGCGGGTTTTCGGGGGGTGATTTAAACAGGGGAACGTACGTGAAACAATAAATGGTGCACCTTTCGGATGGTCGAGGCGCGAATAACAAGCGGCGCACTCCGACCCGTAGAAACGCCGTTGCCGTCGCCGTCGCCGACGGCGCGGCCGGGATCGCTCTCGCTCGTCCGTGACCCGTGAGACCCGTCGTCGCTCCGTCGTCGGCCGTGCGCCGAGATCCACGGTGGTCGTGGTGCAGCGATAGGAGGAGTAACAGTAGTAGGAGGAGAAGCGAAAGGAGGTAAAAGCCCGTGTCTCGCGGTCCTCGCGAGCCTCCACCACGCGTACGCGCCGCTCATCATCGTGCCCGCCGTCGACTCGTCGCCGTCGCCGTCGTCGTTGACGAACGTCGCCGCGGAGCAGCTGACAACCCGTCGTTAACGTGAAACGATTACGTCGCTCGCGGCTGGTCATCGCGTATTGCGTAAAACTAATCCGATTTAGGCGGCGACCTCGCTTGCTCCGTGCACCCCTCCGGCCTCCGGCCCCTCTCGGCGCATCTCTCCGTCTTCGCGAGCCGCGGGCCTTCACCATCCATCGCCGCCGTCGCCCGTCGCGTCGCAGCGAGATCGCTTCTGCCGACGGGGAAGAGGGAAGAGGGAAGCGAGAAGAGGGCGAGGAGCGGAAAGGGAAGGAGGAGGAGAAGGGACCGATTGACACGCAGTCTCCTCTCGCCGCTCGCCGCTCCCGCTCACGGTACGCTCCTCTCCTCTCGAGTCTCTCGCGAGAGCGACGCGTTGTCGCGCGGTGCGCGGATCGCGGTGACAAGTTATTATCGCGTCGCCTCGCGTCTCGCGGGCCCAACCCACTTTTTGACTCGCGGCGGCCGCTCGAGCGCCCGGTCGTCTTGTGCGCCATGTACCCGCGGTGATCCTCGAGCAGCTTCCTCGGGCAGCGTTATTCCCCCAGCCAACGAGCCGAGGTAGCCCCGGAACCCCTGGGTGTCGCGTCGCGTCGAGTCGCGTCACCCCGCTTCGCCTCGCCCACTGCGCCTCGAACTCGGGAGTCTCGGGACACTCGGGTATGGAATTTTGCGGGACGACGGCGCGTCCACATAACCTTTAAAGCCACCGAGGAGACCGTCGGTCGTCCGTTTCCCCTCGGCCGACGGCCGCCGTCGCCGCCGCGTTGATGTGTCGACCGTCGTTCTCGGCTCGCCTCCGTCGGCAACGCTCCGGGTCACGTCGCGGAAACGACGCTCCGACGCTGCAGAACACGATCCGTCGAGGACGAGAAGCCACCCCCCCTTTCACCCCTTTTGTTCCTTCGCCACCCCCCGCGTCCGCTCCGCGAATCTGCGACCCCGTTCTCGTTTGCGCTGCGCTCACCGCCGACCGACGGCACATGCACTACGTGTTTGTCATGCTGTACCTGACGATATTCAGTTTGATTCTGTTCTATTTATTTCTGATCATGCAGGACGTTATCACGAGGATACAATCTCGTCTGTACCATTGAGTTTTATTTATTTTTTCTTCCACTGTTAATAAATTCAGTTATTCTTCACCCCGACACGGTGTTTTGTGTTTTCATTTCGTACACGCTCCACTTCGCACACACACGTACCCCGCTTCCATCTCCCCTCTTCATTCTTCCCTACACCCGCCAATTCTGCACAGATTCTCACGTTCTGTATCTCGTAAGTATGCGTTGAGAGAGAGAATCTTCCGTTGCGATCATCCTTGGTTTTCTTCTTTTCGTCGGGCAGAGCGTTTCTTTTCGGACGTTATGATTTTGTAATGCTTACTGGACCAGCTGAGAGTGCATTCGCTTCGTTCGACACAGTCCTTTTTAGATTGTTAGAAGATACCTGGAGATTCGTTTTCAGACGTTATGATTTTGTAATTCTTACTGGACCAGCTGAGAGTGCATTCGCTTCGTTCGACACAGTCCTTTAGATTGTTAGAAGATACCTGGCGATTCGGTCACTCAAACGAAACTATCCGATTAGTGCGAGAATAAGGTCAATTTTTTTTGTTTTTTATTTATACTTACACGAGAGTATTCTGTAGCTGAATGAGAAGAACGACATGACCGATAATCACTTTCTGCTGATTATCAAAGCAATGGTGTACTGAGAGGTCGACGCGCGTGGACTAAGTAATCCAGGAAGGCTCGTCGCAATTTGAGAAGATGAATAATCAGGCGTTTAGTTTGGCGGAGAGACTCATACCGTCGACCTACGTGCAGCAGGGCCTGAACGCCAAGAAGTCTCGCGAGAACCTTATACGGCATTTCATCGAACATGTAAGCCTCGTGTTCATTTCTATCAATGTAGATTAATTTCCCCAGTTTTTAATTTGTTTTTTATCCTTTTTAAATTTTCTCTAATGTCCACTTCTACCAATACAGATTAACTTTAATCTTGGTCCAACTTGCTTTTTATCTTCCAGTGCTAAGAAATAGAAAAAAGATAAAAAGTAAGTTAAACTGAGATTAAAGTTAAGTAGAAATGGACATAAATAAGTTAAACCGAGATTAAAATTAATCTATGTTGATAGAAGCGGACACTGATAGAGCAAAAAGTGATCTCTGTGCGTGAAGCAAACTCTGAATGTACCTTGCAATGTGTTTATCTGAAAAACAGCGAAAATGGCCAGAGGAGGGCTGGGACGACGCAACGATAGAGGCGTTTCTGTCGGATTTGTCGCAGATGGACAGCAACAACTTCCCCTCAAATTGCAGCGTCGGCGAACGCGAGGCGAGGATCGTGTCGAACATCGTCGCGAGACGACACTTTCGTATGGGGCACGGCATAGGTAGATCCGGCGATCTGGAAGAAGTACAACCGAAGGCAGCTGGTAGCAGCTTAATGTATAAATTAACTAACTCCTTAGTGCTTGAAGTTATACGATATATGGGTAAGGAGATACATAGAGATATGTATTTAGCATAATAGAGAACATAAAACATTTCACGCAGATTTAATAACCGCGTAAGAAATTAATTTATTTGTGGTCTAAAATGGCAGAGAGAAGAGAGGGATTATGAGTCTTGATGTCAGATTAATCGGAAAAGTTCGTTAACTTTGCGATTTATTTCTTTGTTTTTTTTTTGTCTGACTCTTTTCGTTTCATTAGATGTCTAACAGAGATATTCTCGATCGCAGGAGTGAAGAGCATAGCGGGCTGCTTTCTATCACCAATGGCTACAGGAATGAGCCTAGTCCTATGTATGTTAACGCTTAAGCAAGACAGACCACGAGCGAAATACGTTTTATGGCCTAGAATTGACCAAAAGTCTAGCTTCAAGTCTATAATCACGGCCGGATTAGAGCCTATCGTTATCGAGATGCAAATAATAGGGGACGAATTAAAAACCGACATGCAGAGACTCGAGGCCCAAATGGCAGCCTTAGGCGAGAGTGTCGCCTGCGTACTCACGACAACCAGCTGTTTTGCGCCCAGAGCGTGCGACTCTGTGGACGCGATCGCGGCTCTCTGCAGTCAGTATAACATACCGCATCTGGTGAATAATGCATACGGGTAAGTGGAAAGAAGCATAATTTTTCATGTACATCTCTAGATCGATATCTTGGCACCAAACAACCGCATCTTCGGCTCTAGATCCAGAATTTTTATTCGGAAATCAAATGTTGATCTTAGTACCAAGATATTGAAGTGTATTCCGATTTAAAACGATTTTACTAAATGTATTGCACTATATTGCTAAAAGCTTGCAGAGCACAAGATGTATGCATCTCATACAAGAAGCGTCGAGAAAGGGTCGAGTAGACGCTTTCGTTCAAAGCACGGACAAGAACTTCCTAGTTCCAGTGGGTGGTGCCATTATAGGCTCCTTCGACAAGAATCTCTTAGATCGCATATCGAAAATGTATCCAGGACGTGCGAGCGCGAGTTCCGTTATGGATGTGATGATAACGCTGCTGAGTCTTGGAATGGCAGGGTACAAACAATTGATTGCTCAACGTAAGGAAATGTATTCTTACCTGAAAGAAGAATTGGGAAAATTAGCGACAAGGCATGGGGAGAGGCTGTTAGACACTAAGGGCAACCCAATATCCATGGCTATGACTCTTCAGTGTCTGAGCCATCAGCACGACAACAAGCAAGTTACTATGCTAGGATCAATGCTATTTCTGCGTAACGTTAGTGGTACTAGAGTAATAACGACCACGGATTCTAAGCACATTGTTTCACATAAATTTGAAGGTATATATTTTTAAGTATAATTTAATAATGTTTTTTAGAATATATTAAATTTATTAAAATACATAATAATATAATAGTCATCTCCGTACAACCATATTTAAGAATATCGTATAAATTTATTGTAAATTTTTTAATTTTTTAATTTAGATTCTTATCTAAGATAATTTCTGTTTCGTAATATGTATTTACCTTAATCGCCAACAGGCTGGGGCGCACACAACAGCAATTATAGAGTTCCATATCTGACTGCTGCGGCAGCGTTAGGCATGAAGAGATCTGATGTGGATGCATTCATACAAAGATTGGACAAAGCTTTAACGAAAGTAAGGAGGCGTTCAGCGCCAGTAACGCCTACTGCTTCACTCGCCGGTTCCAGCATCAATGGAGATGCAGGTGGTACTGGTGGACCAGGGGAATCTAGCACAGCCTCAACCAGCCGTGCAAGTAGCAAAGACAGTCTAAGAAAATGAACCGTAATCAACGCAACTGGCCAGTCCAATCAGCACATTAATCTCAATTTGTAAGTAACTTATCGCTTACAAATTGACATCCATAGCATGTTTCTGAGAAATACAAATTTGGTACAATTGTTCCTTTATAAATATGTCAATCACGTGTTTGTGTTGACAGGAGTTTTACGAAATCTGAAGAAATTTAATACAAAAATCCTGAAATTCTTTAGATTGAAAATTAGATAATAAATTTTTTATGGGAAAAGGGAGGAAAGGAGGATATATGTGGAAACATTTCTTTTCTAAATGAGATGTCGAAACAAAATCCATTATTATGTTAATATTTCACAATACTAAAGGAAACAGTGATTACATGTATTTTCACAGACACATGCTAGATATAAATGTACTGATTCGTCTGCCCATTTGCGTTGAGATATTGTCAATTTAAATCATATACCAAAAGAGGATGAGTCTTCAGACGTTAAAGAGTGATCAAAATTAATATTGGAAAATGACAGGAAACACAAGGCATTCGGATTCCTATGGCTCTATTTCAGAAAGAGATTTAAGTGATAAGCGCTGGCTGTCGATATAATTGTTGAGTATGTTCTTTGTTGAAATGTATATGCTATTATTTATAAAGATTACAGGCAACATTGAATTGAATTCTTACATTTAACTCTTTTTTCACCTTCTTGCTTTCTAATGCAGTTTGATATAAACACATAAGAGACATGTATCAATCAAAAGAAATTGTACGTTTGCTTTATATAATATAAATTCCTATTTTAAAGGAATAACTACGAAACTTACAATTCTGTCGATATTCTGTCGATACATGTAGCAATATTCGCTATTCCAATTGTTTATAATATTTATCATGTTATTCTCTTCAAAGCTGTCACGTTTCTGATATAATTTATTCACTTGTATGCACTTAATAGAATCGATTGTTACTGCGTCGTGTTCTTTTGTTATCTTTAAACGGAGACTACGACATAGACTACATAGAGAATGAGAATCTTTTTCTTTTATTTAAGCAGAGTATATTAGTGTTTATGGCACTAGTAAAATGATATATTATCTGTAAAAAAGGAAGCAGTAGTTGAAATATTTATGGAAACACTATTAGGAAAGTATGTCAAAATTTAGGTACATAGTACACATAATGACACAACGTGGTATACGAACATATTACGAACATTGAGTTTATAGAAAGATTGTAATACCTTCGCGTATGTAGGTATTGTACGTTTAGTTTTCCAAGAACGATAAGAATTAGAGCACAATATCGTATTATTAATTTGTTTTAAATGCTTTTTTAATGATAGTATTATATTTAATTGTACTGTTGCGTAATAAATAGAGCATTATGTATCTAGGAGTATGTTACGGAAATATTAAGATTGTTTGACATATTTAGTACTATTCGCAAGCAAGCAACATCAACATACATATTAGATACTAACAGACACACACACATACATATTTATACATACGAAAAAGTATGTTTATATGTATATAGATGCCTGCGTGCATAGGTATGTATACAGATATATTCATACTTGTGTAATTCGTTGCGTATAAAGAATAGTTTATTTGAAGTTTCATGCGATTTAGAAAATGGTATATTGAAGTTGTATTTATAAATATTTAATAGAGATAAAGGAGAAGTAAACCGATAGGGGGGAGATTATTAGTGTTGTTAAAATTTTATCGAGCATATATAATTTATAATACCTGTTGCACTTTCTTTAAATAGAAATATTAATTATTTATATTATATATTGTTGACGTTTGGATTTTGTAGTTGTACATTTTATGTCGAATGTTCAAAGCGAAAAATTATTAGTCGGTAAATCATCTGGTAAACTGACAACAGCGCAAAATGACTATAAATCACCGAAGTTTTCAAAGTGTATTATTATTATGAGCGAAAGAAGCAATGATACACGGAGATTAGCATTTAATTAAACGCTTAGTTGATGGCTTATTAGATCGACAGAGTGCTAATTAAGATTTTGTGAAGCTCCTAATAATAATTATCATTATTCAATACATTATATCCTACTAATAATTAGAGATTCATATTTTTCAATTAATTATATAGTCACTACGTCCCTCATATAAAGAACCGATCTTTTAGTACGTATATAAATATACTTTTCCTTTCCAAAATTTATGATATTATAATTTACAGGGTGTTCTAGATCCCTACACCTTTTCATCCATAGATTATTTGGTCTTTTCTAGAGAATCGGTTCCAAAATAATCAAAGAAAAATGTAAAATGTAGCTTGATAGATTTGGAACCGTACCCATATGGCAATACTTATACTTTTAGACAAGAATATATATACAAGTTATATATACTGCTATTGTATTGCGCACTTTTCGACCATTCGTTATAAGTTATATGTTTCTTTAATTATTTATTTATCTCGAGGAAGAATATTATATGCGGAAAAAAATTTCTAACATGTAGTACAAGAACTTGCAAAATTACCGCTATAAAAGGATCGTGTATGACGCTATAATAGGAAATACATTGACGTTATAATATTATTTAATAAAGAGGAATATATGTTGTGTGTATATATACACATATATACATAATATACATGTATGAACGATCTTTATACCATGATATCTCGATGTATTCAGGCTATTATCGAAAAATCACGCCATCTCAACTATATCGATAATCCACCACCTATGAGTTTGCATCTTTATATTTAAGATTTACCTTTCACTTTACACCAGCAAGCAATAAGTATGACGTAACGCGTATGATTCTGCGGGATTATCTTTCATTCTATGCTCAAGCAAGGAAACATTGGATTTTCTCGAAGAGCAATAGACAAATCAGCCTATATACGTATTTATATACATGTATATATACATATATGCATATATGTGTGTAATAATAGGAAAACATTCTAGGACGTACGAGGCCACTGACGTACGATGATCCTATAACTCGTACTCGTGACATTCCTATGTAAATAAAGAAGTCTCTGTCTTATTTGACTCATCTCCATTTTCCAGCTGGGTTTCGTGCAATAAAGGGCCAGCTTACTTATTACACATCGTTAAACGCCTTTCACGCAACAACGACGATCTTGCGGACCTAATTTTTCCATTTTCCAATTTCTCTCTCTCCCTGAGTTTCGCGTCCGTCACAGAATCGGTCCGGCTCCGACTGCAGTTTCATTGTCTTTTTATATATAATATAATACGAAAATATATAAAATGATATTCTAACACAAACAGACAGCGAATGCGTCGACTTGAGAAAACACCTAACGTTCGCATGAGAACAAATGTGTATTTATATAAGGGGAAAAATAAAAAAGAATATATATTATATATATACATATATAAATATATGCAACCGAGTCGCTGTATTAAAGTTTAAAGTGTCGGTGTGTAATTGTGAGCGAGCAGTTAAGGCTTATATCGAATATAAATATACGATATGATAAGAACGCGAGGCAAAAAACGAGATAACTCGAGAAACGCAAAACGTGTTCTCCGAGGAGTATTTGGTTCTTTTTTTAACGACATCCAGGACGCGCCGGAGAAGTCCGCGACTCTGCTGGCATTGTACATACATAAACTTTTGCTTCAACGGCCCATCTTCAAGACACGTGGGAAGCAAAGAGTGGGGCCTCGCGGGAGCGCGTGGAGCTGAGCATCACGAAGATGTTCCTTCGATGGGACGTTCGTCGCTCGTAAAAGCCAGCATTCCGAGTACCTAGACAGAAGCGAAAACAGGCGATACGATCGAGAGGAAGAAGATTGTACAGGATCGATCCGAGTCGTCCGAGTGTAAACGAAATGGAGACGACCGCGGGGTCGTCTCGACCTCTTCATATCGTTTCCTCTTGGAAGCTGTTTCCGCCTGACTTTCCTCCGGCGATTTAAAGAACGACACGCTGAATATTAATCAAATAATTAGCGAACAATGTAAATGGCGTAAATGTACGCGCTCTTCCCTAAATATGTGATTACCGTGTAATAGTCAACGCTTTATTTGTAATATACGCAACTATTGGATAAATAAATTAAAAATTGTTAAGCGACGCCACTTTGTTGACTTTAAAGGACGATCGTGCATGAAAATATAAAGAGATTTCTTTTAAAAGAAGTAGATTATTTCCTGCTACGTTTTGAGCTATTTAAAATTATTTTGCGACATATCTAAATGTCTAGAAAATGAGGAGAATTTATTTTAAATCTTTATATGATTTGTCACCTATATAGCACCCTCTACTTTTGTATTCTTGGCTTGAGATTGACAAAGAAAAAGAAGATAAATCGTTGCAAAATTGAAACTTTTGATAACTTCGACTTTTGAGTATATTTCTTGGGAAGTACTGAATTTTATAATCCTTTTTTCAATCTCTTCTTAAAAAAAAAAAAGAAAAATATCTGAACATATTGACTCAGTGATAAGAAAAAGCATAAAGGTAGGGTTTGTTGCTCCATGATTTCTGCGACTGTACCTCCCCCTTAAATTGAAAAACTTGCCAACATCTCGGAGCGTTATCACGAGCTTCAATAATCTTATCATGAGTCTAATCTTTCGAACATTTCAGGCGAGAAAGGACGACAAGCTTTCGCGTTTTCCGTCGGATTGACGCCGTAGACGTAGATAAATTAATTATGTACTTTCAATATGAAGTTTTGGAAAATAATTCTGGCGATGCGTCGTCGACGTCTCAGCTGATCTGCTGTTATCGCGAACTCTAATAATCTTATCCCGAGTCTAATTCTTTGAATATTTCGGCGAGAACGGGTGAGATGAAGCTTTCGCGCGTTCCGTCGGACTGACGCCGTAGACGTAGATAAATTAATTATGGACGATTTCACACAATACGGAGTTTTGGAAAATAATCTTTGATAATCTTGGCGATGCCTTGCGTCTCATTTCGCCAATTCGACAATACGATATCAATATAACGGGACTGTGAAATCACAACGCGGATCATCCACGTTGCCGAATGACTGCGACGCGTGCACCGCTCAGACACTCGTCGTTTTCTTATCGTGAGGTTCTCACGAGGCTTTGCGAACGGTGTGGCGACGGGAGATAACCTAAGCCGGCATATTGCCATATGTCGGAGGGAACACGGTGATCTCGACGAATTTTAGACGCCGCAAGAGAGAAAGAGAGAGGAAGAGAAATCCACGTGCTGTATTTCGCTGGGTTCGTTCCCGGCCGTCGGCAGCCTGAACCTCGATTCCACGATCGATGAACCTTTCATGTCCATCTTTTGCTTCAAGAATTTTGTTGACATTCAGCTCGGTGACGCTTTCCGTTGATCTTCTCCTTACCGTGTCGTAATTGTATATGACGATACGAAACGTTAACGTGAGTAACATTTGCGAATAGTACAAGTTAATTGAACATTGCCGTCGCTTGCCGTCGCTTGACGTAACCGACGTAGAATGATAAGGGTTAGGAGACTTAAATAATGGTTCTACCGGCGGAACAGCGGTTCTCGAAGAAACAGTAAAGTAATTGACGAATAAATAAAGGAAGGTCAAATTTCTTAAATCGTGGCTTTCGATAAAAGTGGCTTCGAAATCGTAGAATGAGAAAGCAGTGGATGCATTTGTTTATTTCAATAAATAATTTTTTAGAACTTCCTATATAAATTTGATAATTTTTTAGAAAATTTATAATTTTTTTTTTAATTGGGACACTTCAGAAATGTTGAGAAAGTCTACATCTTTTCTACAATTCTTTATACACTAAATTCAGAAATATTCTAAGATTTTGCTCACACGTTTTATAATTTCTAAAGAAAGCTTATAAAATCTGAAGAAGCTTTAACATGTACATTTGGTGGATATAACTCCTTAACTATCGTTAAGAATTACAGAATTCCGCCTCTAGAATCTTTGTGCTAAATTATTCCATGTATATTATTGTATTTACTTGCCAAGTATTATCATCGTGACTTCTTTGTTTCAGGATACTTAAGAATTTTAGAATGGCGAAAGGCAAAACGCAAGAGAAGGCCACGAAGATAAGAGCCAAGACGTCTAAGTCGAATAAAAGTTTAAAAATGCCGATAAATTTTATAATCGTCACTGCGAGTATGGCCGTTGCCATTTGGTTTGGATACAAGGGATACCTCGAAACGAGAGTTAATACTCCATGTGATGTGAACAAGGCATGTGATCCATTGAATAATTTTACGTACTCTCAAGATCTTGTTATAAATATAAATTATTACGAGTATGCGATAAAAGCTGTAAAATATCGAGCATAGCGTTACAGAATAGTGTCTCCAAAACTATAAGAGATACACATCTGATTGTTATAGTATTTTGTTCAATATAAGGAAGTTGAGGTTTAATTGGTGCAACTTTGGAGATATTAGATATGCAATATGTTTTTATATACTCTCTGTGTGTAAACTATCAAATACCTGCAGATTTGTAATCCGGACAATTCGAATGTTTTAAAATTAGCTAGTTACTGCATCTGGATTGGACGACCCGGATAGATATTGGGGTACCTACCGTTCCGGGGTGTATTTCGGCTTAAAAACAAGAGATCCGCATTCCTTGGTGACTGGTTTGATGTGGTATATTCCACGTTACCTACGCCACGATGGAAGTGGATTTAGACATTGGTGCGAGCAAGGCGATGAGTTAGACAGGTACGTAATCGGAATATTCTTCGGTCAGAAATAATTTTTTACCGATGCAACTAATTGAAATTTAAATGTTAGATATGCCTGGTTGGAGCACGACGGACGAACATTTGGCGTTCAGGAAATAGTAGACGGTTCTGTAGTTATAAGTACAACATTCGTCAAAAGACCTGGTGGATATCACGGTGGTGACTGGACCGCGAGAATTGCGGTGTCGCCGAAAAAAGAACGGGTTGGAGAAGAAATGTCGCTGTTATTTTATACCGCTATTGAGGAAGGCACGAAAGGTTGGATAAAGGCTAATTTAGGGGATTACAATCGTTTGACGGGAATAGAAGGAAATACGCAGGGATTGGGATCTTTCGTTATAAACGTAAATTTAATAAATGGCACTGTGGAAGCGCATTCCTTCCTAGCGACAGTCGCTCCTGGTCTACACGTACTGAAAGAAACGGTACTGCAAAATCTCCGCGTCGCAACTCAGAAGGGATCCATGGAGAAACACGTAGTTTTAGCTGGCGAACAATTGCCTTTGCTGCCTGAAGGCAAGAAGAAGGATCCAAATTTCATCGCTACTCAAGTGACGGGAAAAATCCCCTTTGAGATCGAAGTTAGTTATGAATCTGGCAGTTTTAGTAATAGGATAGAGAAATTAACGGGCAACGTTTATGATGAGGCTCTTAAGGAACACAGAGAACTGTTTTCGAAGAAATTTGAAACTATTTTCAAACTCAAGTCCAAGGGATATACGGACGATGAAGTAGCGTTTGCGAAGATGGCATTTTCGAATCTTATAGGCTCGGTAGGTTACTTTTATGGGACTTCGCAAGTGCAAAGTACGTATACCAAGGGACCTGTGCCTTATTGGAAAGCACCTTTGTATACTGCCGTACCAAGCCGAAGCTTTTTCCCGCGAGGTTTCCTGTGGGACGAAGGTTTTCACGGTTTACTTATCTCGGCCTGGGACACAGAAATAGAATTAGATATCATAAGCCATTGGTTTGATCTGATGAACGTCGAGGGCTGGATACCAAGGGAGATGATCCTGGGCCAGGAAGCTCTGGCCAAGGTACCCGAAGAGTTCGTGACTCAGATCAATACGAATGCGAATCCGCCTACATTTTTCTTAACGCTGGACTTTATGCTCCAGCATAAAGAGCAGAACTTGCTGAAACATTTCCGGTTACTCAACAACCTGTATAAACGATTGCAGGTATGGTTCTCGTGGTTTAACGTCACGCAAGTCGGCGAGCTGCCCAGTACGTACAGATGGCGAGGCAGAGACGAGAAGACTACCAGAGAGTTGAATCCCAAAACGCTCACATCTGGCTTGGACGATTATCCCAGAGCTTCTCATCCAAGTGTGTCCGAACGTCACGTTGATTTGCGTTGCTGGATTGCCTTTGCCGCTCGCGTTATGGCTCAACTCGCCGAAACGTTGAGTTACCCTGCCACAAGGTACCAAGAAACATTCCAGTATCTGTCTAATAATAACTTGTTGAACAAACTACATTGGTCATCGAATGCGCAAGCATATTCTGATTACGGTTTGCACACCGACAAGGTGGTTCTGCGGAAACTCGCGTCGCCGCCACCTCGTGCAAATAAACAACAATCTAATGTACAACCGCCGGAAATGACACGCATCGTACTGGAAAATCCGTCTTTGAAGTTCGTCGACACAACCTTTGGATACGTATCGTTGTTCCCTTTCATTCTACAGATTGTCGAGCCCGATTCGCCACAACTGGGGAAGATACTGCAGGATCTACGGGATCCTGATTTATTGTGGACAAAGTATGGACTGCGATCGCTCGCGAAAACATCGCCTTTATACATGAAATACAATACGGAACACGACGCGCCTTACTGGCGCGGTCCAATCTGGATAAATCTGAATTACTTGACAGTGCGGGCCGCGTATCATTATTCTAACGTAACGGGACCGTATCGGGAAAGCGCGAGAAGGATATACCAAGAATTGCGAAAGAATTTGATACAGAATCTTATTATGCAATATAGGAAGACCGGATATTTGTGGGAGCATTACGACAGCACGGAAGGAAAGGGCAAAGGGAGCCACCCTTTCACCGGCTGGACTTCCTTAGTTGTACTACTTATGGCAGAAATATATTAAATGTCGTGCTAATGTGTATATATCGAATATGATCATTCTGAACTATTTCACCGAAAGTGGAATCAAAAGACACTGAAGTGTTCATTCAGATTCGAGTTATCACGTGGATCTGTTGATAGCACTTTGCGTTTAGACTAGACAGAAGAACGACAATTGTATAATTGTATTATTTTGTTGTATCACTATTACGTTATGTGTGTATATTATGTTTTTATCTTTTATACAATGTTATATCATTGGTGAATCATTGTGTTGTCGGAAAGAAAAGCATTTGTAAACATGTCAAGCTATAGTTGTATGATATACTCGCACGTACAATTTACATTAATTGGGAGAGATAATAATATTCTTTGATATCTTGATGGCCTGATATTCTTGATAATAAATCTAAATCTAAATTCTAGATTGAAGATAGTTGCATCTCTTCTAACAAAAGCGTTACTTATAATGTTTCTACAAGTACTATAAGTATATAATACTCCATTAAATCACGATGCCGAAAAATATGTATGACAGTCATTGAAATCATTCATTATATAACATTTTAATTTTAATAAACCCCATGTGCGAGTTTACAAATTATAATATAGAGTTCATAATGTTAACAAAATAAGGATCAAGTGTGTGAAAACAAGTAATACTTTATCTAAAATATATCTTCAGTAAGAATATAGAATATTCTATTAAATCACGATACTGTGCTGAAAAATATGTATGACGGTCGTATAAAAATTATAGATATATTTTAAGTAAAGCAATATTCTTGTTTTTACACAGTTCAGTGGTTTTTTATTTTGTTAATATTATGAACTCTATATTATATTATAATTTGTAAATTCACACAATGTGGTAATAATACTGTGCAATTGTCTTGAAGGAAGAAGCTAGATTTCAAATCTTGGCTGTGATTCACTGAAAACTTGTATATCCCTAATCTTAAGCTCTTTTGGGAAAAGCGCTGTGTTTTATCATTGTAGCACACTTCGAAATACACTTATTTATATGGTTGTACAAAAAGGAGCTTTTGCTAATCTAGCCGTTTTCTAAAAATGGTTTTCGAAACGGAAGTTCAGGCTGCGTATAGCGTAATAAAATGTTATTTACACATTGAGGCGAAAAATGAATATACCTTTTCTTTTGCGCTTATGTAGAATTTTAATTTTGTTTCTAGAACATATATAGTTTCACATTTATCGCGGAGTAAGTATACAATCTCGAGTTTTCTTTTTAAAGGTACGTAACAGTTCTAAACGATGTGACGCACATATTTTTGTATAAAGATCCAGCTTTTGTATAAATTGAGCTATTTTTCTTTTTAATGCTGTTTTTATATCTAAACGCTCAGAATGCATACAGATAATCAGGAAACCTTGCCATCTATATATAACAGTATGTAGATATATATTACAATAAATACATTATACATATATGTCAACTTTTTGTAGGCTGCAAATTAAATATTTTGACAAATTGAAATATAAAAATAAAAAGTTAATGCTCTACAATTATATATTATTTTTACAGCATTCCAAATAGTTTTTACTAATTTTGAACTGAAACTCATAAATAGTGAAGCAAATTGTGAAAGAAGGGAGCATTTAATAGGGTATATCCTCTTTTTCTTTTCACATTAGAGAGAAAAAGAGGAAAGATGAAAACTGCGAGAATTTCAGCTAAAAAGAATAGGCCTATTGCTTTGCAAGCTTTGCAAAAGGGTTGGCACTCCTGCTCGCGACGCACCTCGAGAAACGATTCTCGAATCGCAGGGTCGCTCGATCGCTGATGACTCCTTTCAGACGCCTCGCTCGAAGGATAGGACGATAGGTGTGTGCCCGTGGGGTTACGGTCGTGGGTCCTCGATCGAAACAACGTCGCGTGGACATTCCGATTCCGTATTATGGAGCCGTACGACGTGATCGTCAATCAGCCGGTGGTTATCGACAACGTAAGTGCTCGCCCGCTGTTCAGTTTCTTTCGCGATGTGTCAAACTTCAATGTCGGTCGTCAACGTCAACGGCGAGGAATTGTCGCTCAAAAGGACACGACGTTGAATGCTTTATGCTTCTCCTCGCGTTCGCATTACTATTTTATTTACCGTTATTGATTTGTATTCGTATCTTGATTTCCGACCGCAAACGGGAATTATTATTGGACTTCATCGACAGTCCAGTCGAGATGGATGATGATGATAATGTCGATACGATGACGCTATGCGAATCTTTTCCCAATTTAGGATCGATAACGTTGTCATTACAATCTGGTCTTGTTCTGTTCAGGGATCCGGCGTGATCAAGGCAGGGTTCGCGGGCGATCAGATACCAAAATGCAGATTTCCGAATTAGTAAGTAGCAGGGAGAGCGCTATTGACATTCGTGACAGTGTCTCCTGTTTTTGAAGCTTACTGTTAGATGGCTAGTTATTCTAATGACATATATCGAGAATGTCTAGATCAAGCTTTGATTTCATTATTTGCTGATTAATTCTCAACTGGAAGAATCGCTTGCCACAAAACTTGGAGGTGTATTTGTCGTTTTTGGTAAAAATTTTCTATTTTAAACAAAATTGATAACTCTATCTGTGTTAACAAAGTTAGAGACATTATTTAATAAGTTAATTATATTATTTTTTTAATGAGACTTTCTGACAGACTGAGAATGTTATTACAACTTCTGAAAACTAATTAATTGAAATGTTAAAAATCAATATGACGTTAAAAAATATGATATATGACGAATTTTAAAATAAATTAGAATTTTTACATTAGCAGCATTATTGATTGATAAAAAAGGAATTAATGCATGTTTCCTGTCTTTAGCATTGGGAGGCCAAAACATGTACGTGTTATGGCTGGTGCTTTGGAAGGAGATCTGTTCGTGGGTCCAATAGCGGAGGAGCATCGTGGCCTTTTATCTCTTCGGTATCCAATGGAACATGGGGTGGTCACAGATTGGAACGACATGGAGCGCATCTGGTCTTACGTTTATAGTAAAGATCAGTTAGCTACGTTCAGTGAGGAGCATCCGGTGTTGCTTACAGAAGCACCTTTAAACCCCAGGAAGAATCGTGAGAAGGCAGCCGAAATATTTTTCGAAACGTTTAATGTTCCAGCTTTATTTGTTTCCATGCAAGCTGTACTTAGCTTGTAAGTAACCTTTTGCAATAATCAGTGTTAAAACGATTTGTAACTTTTTACCTTCTGAAATTAGAATCTCGAAATTATATTATTTATGGTGATTAGATGACCGTTTTGGACTGCATAACAATGATCTTTGTTATTTATTAATGCAGATATGCAACAGGCAGAACTACGGGAGTAGTTCTAGATGCTGGCGATGGTGTTACGCACGCTGTACCTATTTACGAAGGTTTTGCTATGCCTCACAGTATAATGCGAGTTGATATAGCAGGACGTGATGTTACAAGGCATCTTAGGCTACTTTTACGCAAGGAAGGTATTAATTTCAAGACCACAGCAGAATTTGAAATTGTCAGAATAATTAAAGAGCGAGCGTGCTACCTCGCTAGCAATCCTCAGAAAGAAGAAACAATAGAGACGGAGAAGTTTCAATATGTCTTACCTGACGGCAGTCACTTGGAGGTAATAAAGTAACTTGAACCCTAGTAATATGTACTAGAAAAATATTAATTGTATATAACTTCAAAATAGCAAGTTCGAACTTCTTATATGTATGTTTTATTTAATATAGATTGGTCCGGCACGATTCAGAGCTCCTGAAGTGCTGTTTAGACCAGATCTGATAGGTGAAGAATGCGAAGGCCTTCATGAAGTACTAACGTATTCCATTCAGAAGTCTGATTTGGATTTGAGAAAGGTTCTATTCCAAAATATCGTATTGTCGGGAGGATCGACATTATTCCGCGTAAGCAGACAAATCAATATATGTGTAAAATAAAGAAAGAATATAAAAAATTATATCTTTTTGTATTCTTATCTTTCTATATTATACAAAAGAATTGTTATAATGTAACAAAATTCTCATATTTACTGTTTAGGGTTTCGGTGACAGATTATTATCGGAGATTCGTAGGATGTCGCCAAAAGACATTAAAATAAGGGTAAGGAAACAGAGAATAAATGAAAATAAGATATAAATTAAATAGTGAATAAAAAAATTATAGTATATTCAGAAATAGCATTATATTTGTTTCTGGTTTAACAGATATCTGCGCCTCAGGAACGATTATATAGTACTTGGATTGGAGGTTCCATCTTGGCTTCTTTAGACACCTTCAAAAAGATGTGGGTGAGCAAAAGAGAATTTGAGGAAGATGGTATACGGGCTATTCACCGTAAAACATTTTGAATTTAATTTAGAGAAGCTTTCGAAAATGTTATATATCGAATAATTTTATTATAATACGAAATGATGGCACACACACTCGGCACGATACAAAATAATATGTCGCAGCAAGCATAATTTATAATTGTTTTGGATAGTAACTCGTATAATTTCTATCATTATTTCAAGGAGTCATTACTTAGGTATTTCTAATTATATTTTTAAGGCCCGCGATATAGTGCAAAAACCGTTTCGATTTATTTTTGCTTTAATCGATTAATGTGACTTTATTTTGATAGATATATACATGGTTGTGTTAATATACAATTAATATACATGAATAATTTTGCAAAGACTGTATAACACGTAAAAGTGAAAGGAAAGCTAGCACATCTCGAGATCCCTTAAAAATGTAAATAACGACTTTTCGAATCAAATGAATCATGGTCAAACGTAAAATTCTAAATTGGTTTTAGAACTTATTTATTTATATTTATATATTTATGCTGTGCGCTCTGTTCTGTTATGTGTATTACGGCAGTGTACATGATTTTTTATTTACTAAGAGAAAGTGCTCTATTTCGTCTTCAATATAGCGAAACGAGGTATTCTGTAATTTCTATGTGCAGTAACATTTATGCAAAATATTTGTAAATATGTATGCTTTCGTAAAAATAAATCTTTATAGTCTTTACACCTACAAACACAACACACATAAGTGCATGTGATTAAAATATGAATTTCTACAATTGTAACGTCGAGATTTGTAGCTTTACATTAAACAATTGATTCCAACATACTTTGTATCACGCATAAACTATTAATTTTTAAATGTATATTAAATGCTGAAGGAGAACGCAATCTTTGTTACTTTTTATTTATGTATTAGTATGTTTTAGCTGTGATAAGAATAGGGATTATCGGAAAGTTTATTGACGTTCTTATCGCTGCGTAAAAAGAAAGATCGAGTTTTGAAAATAACAAGCAATAACTTGATTGGAACGGATTCAGTCATCAAATAATATCTGTTAGAATTGTATATTATATATATGCCTGCACTGTTCGGAGAGAAACGAATATCGAGAATATTCAGAAACTTGTTGACAATTATTTAATGTCGCACACGCAATGGAAAAAAAAATACTCGAAATACGAGATGCTGCACAAGGCAAAAGTACTATATGTAGAAAAATTTAGAAAATGCGCCTGAATCAATATATTATTTAAAAGACAACCTGCAAAGGCATCTATATTAAAGCTAGTGTAACGAGTGTTTATACCATTTTTAATTATTTAACAAATGTGTATTTTTGTTTAAATAAACAACTGTACGAGACATGCTGGTTTTATATATCTGGAGTAATCGGAAAATACATGCGAAATACGGCATTAATTAAACGATATAGAACTCTGTTAATTTTCTGCATTTATACTATATACTATATATTATATGAATATATTTGTATATATTTTTTCTTTATTTAATAATATTTGCAAGAATGTATTCATTAGTCAACGTAATATTTAGTCATATACTTGTTAAACCTGTTCTTTTTAGCTGAACTTCTTACACGGTTTATCTTTTTTCTTTTTCTCTCCAACGTGAAAGAAAAAGAGGAAAGTTGAACTGTGCAAGAAATTCAGCTAAAAAGAACAGGCCTATGAATTGCAGAACAGCATGTTTACAGTATGTGATGCCACTGGAGCTTCCAGTGGAGGATACAGATATTGTCTTTGTGTTTAGCTTACACGTGGTACGATGGTGGTGCGGAAAAGAATATATATTTATTTTATATATATTTATCCATTTTATACATAAAATTAAGCTTTACAAGAAGATCTTCAGTCTTCAGTTATGTTGTTGTAGTATTTGTTAAACTTTCGATTTATTACTTACATCTCAAATTGAAAAAAAAAGAAGAAAAGAAAGGAGATAAAAGTTTTGTGATTGAGAAAGGAGCGTGATGCTTCGAGAGAACACAAATCGAAGAATTTAGAAGAATCTCGTGGGTTAAAATCGGAATGGAACGAAAGATTGATAATATTTTCAATCAAAGTGAGTGGATTTAATTTTTATCATAAACTTAATTTTTTTTATGAAGAATGTATTTTTATCTGAAATTGGACTCGTCACAAAACGCATTATTTGTATCGCACTTATGGGATTTTCGTCTTTATTTCAATATCATCCATCGCAATAGTCTGAAATGAAAACAAAGATAATTTCGGCATACAAGGAAAATATTAACCGAAGTTTAACTTACTTTTTATCTTTTTCTAGTTCTAAAAAAGTAAGGTATTAATCGAACAGGACAAAGAATCTTTTAAAGTTTACCGCCAAGCTGATCGCAGCTCTTGTGCGACAGCTTGGCCAATCACGTTCCGTTTCGCGTATCAAAGCCCCGATCAGGCTTGCCATTTCGCGCTCCCCTCATTTGATTCGCCGCTTCCCGACGAAATTCTAGTTATTTCTTCGCGATCCCGCAAAACGTGGATACCACTTGGCAGAGGGAGCCGTCCTCTTTCTCATCATATGGCATACGGCAGATTAATTTCCCCTGCCCGGCCGTTCACTCGCTCGACCGTCGACGTCGACGGCTCGACCAGGCTCGACTCCCTTCGCGCGGTGAGCTGTCTATCTGGACCGGACGGACCGACCTCTCGTGCTCTCGTCTCGGTCACTCTCTCCGTTCCTCGGTGTCGAATGATCGTGCGACGACTGCGACGTACTTGCTGCTCGCTCGCGAGCATCTGACGCGAGGCGTATATCGTAATGGCCGCGACTTGATTTGCAGGCGAAGGCCTACGTGTGGCGACGCGAACAGGCGAAGAACGAGCGTGCGAAGAGAGGAGGTTTGTTGGGTGGATCGGATCGGGTGGAAAGCGAGGCCAGACGGGGGACCATCGAAATCGTCGTCGTCGGAGCTTCAACACGCGCTCGCTCACTCTCGAGACTCTGGACCTCGAGAGTGAAGGATAGTCTCGCGCGAATTGTGCGCGTGATTCAGCGCTCGCACACAGCCGTGCGTGCGTGCGTGCGTATCGCGAGAGTGAGTGGGCGAGGCGTGTTCACTCGCTCCGGTTTCCCGCACGCTCCGCCGAGGCTCGAGAAATATATCGTATCGTCGCGACGAGCTCTCGCTCGCTTGTGCGTGCGTGCGCGCGCGCGCACGTGTGTGTGTGTCCTCCGTGGTGTGCGCCGCGCGCGTGGTGTGTGCGGGAGTGAGTGCGTGCGTGAGTGCGTGAGGTTGCACTCCGGATAGCAGCCAGCAGCAGCAGCAGCATCGACAGCAGTGAGCAGCAGCGGCGGAGCGGCGGCGGCGGTGCGTCGATCGGTGGCACCGCGGATCGGCACCGCGATGAGCGACGACAGGAGCGAGGACGATCCGATCATGGACTTCTGGTACAGCAATTGGGAGCAGCAGTGCGTCGAGGCGCTCGAGTCCGAGCCCGATTACGAGAATCAGCTGCACAACGAGAAGGAGCTCTACTCGCAGCAGATGTGGACGAAATTCCAGACGACCGCGTCAGCCATCGCCCAGTTGTACAAAGGTGATCCCCCCACGTTTCCGAGACCGTAGGACTCTTCTTCGCGCCTCTCTTTTTTTCTTTTCTTTTCTCATTTTCTCCCCCCGTTCGCTACGGCGAGCCGCCTCCAAGGTCGAGCTCCCCCGTAGCGCCGCGAATTCCGTCCGTCTCGCGTAACATCCATTTTGTCGCGCCGTTACGAGAACGATAATCTCGCGCAACGTCGTTCGTGTGCGGGAGACTCGTTCTCGTGACTCCTTCCGCGCGAAATATCGATCGGATTAATTTATTAATTTAACCTCCTCCGTCTTTTTTTCTCCGTTATTTTGCAGACCGCACGCTGGGTGTATCGCTGTGGGTGCCCTTTCAGACGGCCGCTGGTACCGTCACGTCATTGTACAAAGGTGCGTGATTTCTCAAGTGTTTTATGGTGCCCCATTGTCAACAGTGACCGCTAACGTAAACGGCAGAACGGCACGGTCTTCCTTCTCTCTCGCTCCTCTTTCCCCTCCTCCCGCTCCTCCTCCTCGTCTTCGCCTCCGTCTCCTCGCCTCGTGCGCTCCGAGCTCCGAGGCGTCATCTTCTCCGTGGCTGAAATCTTTGTTCCTACCATCTATGCTCGTGCTCGTGTTTGTCCTCTATTGTGAACGCGCGTGCGATCATCATTACCGATGAAAATGGCCCCTCCTCCACGTGATGGCTGACCGCTCAGGGTCAGCTGTTTATTGGGCACTGAATGCAACGTTACAATTAACGTTGGCCGTATTGTCCTCTGTAAAGAGGCTATTAATCAAAAAGGAAGGATTTACAATTAACGTGGCACCGAGGAATTTATAGATTGACCGTGCGGTCTCTCCGCACCGCGGGACGCATAACTTTCTTAACAGGCGCAAAATCATTGGAAACGAACCAGTGGGAGAAATGAACTTGTCGAGTTTCTTTAACGACTTAATTATAAGCTACCGAATTCACGGGTACAAAGAAAAATCTATGGGGAAGAATCACCATAACGTATCTCAAACGGATCAAAAACAGAATTTGCTTGTGATTTTTTTCTTCATCATTTGATTTATAGGTTAGGTCAATTGATTAATTTGTTGGTCATGTTTTTTGATATTTTTTGACGTCACGTCTGATTCCGGATAACTGCTGATTATCTTGGCGTTTTATAACACGTATATAGGCGGCGTATATTTAATCCAGCAGAATTGCTCGTGTCACGTGTCGGTTGAGACAACACGGCTCTTTTTTTATTTAGGTTCTCTCAATCAATAGCACGACGTGCCTTAATATATCCTTGTAAAATTGAGAGAAAGTGTTGTCATGATTAATATCGGAGTACAATAATTTGCAAAATTATACTTTTTTGGTACGAGAAAGAATCTGGTATTGAGACATATGTATGATAAAAATAGTGATACACTGAAAAACTCATTAATTAATAAACATCTGGCAAGAGCGATCTATTATTCATCGTGCTGGTAAAAGGAGAACGTGCTTTTGTGCCGTTTTCACGATATATTGAATGTGTGTCGTATAAAATCTTAACAGAAGACAGAGCGAAAAGACAAATTAGGTCAATTTTAAGGCTGAAACATAGTTATTGATATTTAAATTTGATGACTAATGATTATTTTGATAATGTTCGTAATAATGTTAAATTATTCATGCTGTCATTGACGTTAGAGATAACAGTGTCGCAAAAATGTTAACTTGACGTTTGTGATAACACAAAGACGTGTTCTTTCTTTATTCCGAGCATAATAGCTTTATCATATTTCGCTTTTCGCAATCGTTATCTCTGTCTGTCATTATCACGGTTTTTCTCCTCTAAAAAATCTTCTACGTAGAAGAGTTCAATTTTTATCTATTACATATTTTTATATATTTTATTTATATTGATCTTCTATATTATTGAATATACGTGTATATAGAATAAAACATAAAGAGTAACACATAAAAGAGGTACATATATTCAATCCTTGTTTATATGATTCATTATATCACGTGCAACGACATTGTTACAAAAATAAAATGATAATGATATGCGTCTTACAAATAGAGATTATTGATTGTAGATACAAAATTTAACACGATAAAATAATTTGGATATTATTTGTATTATGGATTTTATTATGTTAAATTTTGTAACAGGCGTGTCTCTATTATATAAAATTTATATGCACTTGTCTGTAAAGTTAATCAAGAATCGTTTAAATAGATTCAGTGGACTGTATGAGGCGATGCAGCGATTTGGGGGTAGAAATGGGCAAGCAGAAACGTTGTAAAGAAATAATGAACTGGGCTAGGAAAAAAAGACGTACGATTCGCAGGGAAGATCTTCTTGCATATCTCGCTGGAAAGCCTCCACCTCCACCTCGTCCGCATCCACACAGGTTTATCTTCATTCTAGTTTATTGCGAATAAATTATTAATTTGTAAAAAAAAAAAATGAACAAATAAATTAATAAATTAGTAAATAAAATAAGTCGATTGGTTATTGACGATACAATATGTTGATAATGTTGCAGAAGTTCACCTAAACCACGTATGATGGTGTGTGGCTCCCCGTCGTCTCAAAGTCAAACACCGAGTATGGTTATCGCTCCAGCACCGACAACAGGCACTGATCCAGATCCTGAGTTACACACATTTAGGGAAGCATTGTCGGGTATGTTATTCTATCCTCTAATTTAATTTTTTTTAAATTTTATGTATATGTTCTTGTTACAGTTAGTAAGTGCTATATTATTTATTGCAGTAGCAACATCCTTACTTAGTATTAGCTAAAATATTTATATCGTTCCGATTCAAGGTTTAATCATATTTGATTGAACGTAGAATCACGCGACGAAGTATGAAAACTTTACGCGGAACGATATGCGGATGCCCATGATAAAAAAGTATTAAAATTTCCCAGGTTCTCCAGTGTCTCGACGTGGCGGAAGACAAGCCGAACTGTCGGCCTTTATTAGCAACGAATTTGCTCGGCATCACAAACGGCCTGCTTCGCATGACGTGGATATGGGATCACCCACGCACAAACGTATGCGTACTACACTGTAACGGCGCGCGACGCGTACGGTAGCTTTACTCCCTCGTTCCCTGTTAATTAATCGACCCGATTAATGACTAATAGCTCAGCTCCCCTACATAACTCCCGGTTATGTGTAATCATTTGAGGGAAATGGTAGTGGTTCACACTGCCAGGTAAACACGTTCGTATGTGTCTCCGATAGCTTTTACTGCCGATCTCGATTTCTATAACGTTCAAAATTAACTTAATCTCATAATAGCTGTGTAGAGTGCGTTCGTTTGACGCATAAATTTGAAAATACCTTTAGTGCACAATAATATATTTACGGGATATTCATTTTGCATGTATTGGCAAAATAATATTTCGTTCACGTTCAAAAGTTATTATTTCCCCTTGTATGTGATTTCATGAAAATTTGGATTTTGTGAAATCCTATGCAATATATGTGTATATATGTATATGTAATAATTACGTACTTCTTGTTTATTGATACATAAAATCACGGAAGTAAAAGCACACGAACGTGTCTTAACAACTACTGTTTCAAGTGCCCACACATAATAATCGGTCTGACACTACGTGCAAGAATTTGTATATGAGACTGTCATTTTGTCGATCTATAAATCAATTTACGAAGAATTTGTTTAGCCAGATATGTGACATTATATTCTAAATGTTAAGTCTTTGAACGTCATTACGTATATCGATATATGTATCAAAATTTATAACGACTTTATAACGATAAGGATTCGAATATTTATTAATCAATATTAGACCTGTTCGTTTTCGCTGCACTTCTATTGTCTTTTCTTTACATTACGTGCGGAAAATTTTGAAGTTTTCGAGATAAAACATCAGAATATTTTTGTCTAAAAATGTGTTGTCTTAAAATTGATAGTTAATTTATGGTCAGAATGGGACAGGGAGAAGATAATAAGATATGAGTACACACAAATATTTGTTTTCATATTAAATTGAAATTCATCAGATTGCTCATTTAAAATGTTGTTTTTATTATATCGTGATTGTTTACTCACGTTAATCCTTTGGACGTTTTTCAATCAATAAAATGGTTGTTTCATATCATGTGGATGATAGCCAGTTACGAAGAAAATAAGAAACGGTAGAAAATGATAATAATGCGATAATAATAAATTAAAAATGCTTTCTATTTCAAGTCTTATTTATCAATTATCAAAATTGATTTACCATATTCTTGTTGAAATGTCCCTGAATGTATAATAAATTTGAATCTATTATTGAGTCTTTCGTGTATAATAATATATGTAATTTTCTCGTTTAAAACATTATTTTATACATTCTTTTTTATCCTACGTCTATTGCACTTCATTGTGTGCATCATCGTAAAATAGGTTGAGATGATTATTGCCCAGATTGTTCGACTTCTACTTTGTGGTCAAATTATCTTATGTTAAAAATATTTATAGAGTCAAAATTATAAGATTATGATATCAAAGTCTCTCAAAAGGAAAAAGTACTAAAATATTTCATTTCTCAGTTACGAAAAGTGTTAGGCGAGGGCATAAAAAATATTTCTTCAAGAGATCTCATTATGAGTTTTTACCGTGGCAAACCAAACTTTTAGTATAAGAGTTTCCAGAAGTAAGATAAAGGGCAAGATAAAAGGCACACAAACATGTCTGATCTGTTATAAGAATTCAATATCTTAATATACTGAGGAAAAAAAGGCGATAGTATAAATTTAGTTTATCTTTTGTTGATGCGTAGGCTAGTAAAAGAGAATTGATGAATCATCAGGAAGATACCAAGCTTTACATCCCGAACAAGGTCTGCGTTAATATTCTACGATAAAAAATGGATTTAATATTCCACAGCTCACAGGAGCGTAATGTGTTCGCTATATAGAACTTACTTAAACGTAGACTTTGTCAGGTGTGATAATGACTGCAATATATGTATATGTGTATATGTGTGTATATAATATATATATATAGATATGTATACACATACATATGACGATGTATTTTGTAAAAAAGGCGCTTAACAATTGCGTTTAACGATTTGTGCCAGAGAGTGAGAGCCTCCTTCCCTAATGAAGGTGATGATTGTAAATGTACATTATTTCTAACTATGCCTCATACTACTTCTATCTGAATTTTCAAAGATCTTGCAGATGAATTAGTGGATCGTTATTTATCTTATCGAATCCACTGAAACTCGATTTATACATACAAAATCCACATATTTGTCTGCAAACCGTTCTTCGAAGATCATGTCAGAAGTTGACGTACATTTTTACTCGTTTCTTTGCAAGATTGTTCGAGCGTCATTCATGAGAGGGGTAAAAATTGTTATTCAGTTGTAAATATAGCGTATGCTAATAACGGTAAACAATAAACATAGATATATCGCTAATATTATCATTATACTAGTATTAACTACTATGCGATAGCTTTAACAATATTTATCAATACCGTGCGATCGGCAGTTTATAGAATTATCGAGGACTCTGCTCTCGATTTACACAGTTTCCCGGATGAGATCGGCGATGCAGGGTCCGAGAGTATCGCGCCAGTGAGAACACACTACAACCGTGGAGAATTTATTTTTCGCGAGCAAACCACTTATATGTCTACTGTACATGCGAATTAAACGATCACGGAAGAAAAGTGTTGCTTTCACGATGTAAAAAAAAAAAAAAAAGATCGATTCAGCAATTTGTACGTTCGCATCAACACGTTTCTTCCTTTTCCACTGTCGGAAGTATCTCCCGTGTAAATGTCGTTCTTTTCGTAACTATGATATAGAAGAAAGTAATACATTACTTAGGTATTATCGTATGCGAAGATGCCATACTTAGGTACACTTTATCCATAAGCGAGCGCACCAAACTTGGCGATATAACGTCGGGGCAACTCTAAACACCGATCTGTTTTCGTTTCCGTTCTATGTGTTCGTGGTATGTCTTCTGACTGCATAATCGAAAACGTCCATCCTTGATCATCATGTCTTTGAGTGAAATATCATCGAGAGTTATTCTCGAGGGTCACATTTATAACTACGATGGACATAAGATGGAAAATACTACAGAGAGTACTTACTCTCTCATTCGTATCTTCTTATTCTCTTTACTTCCGAGAGTCGCTCTCAAATGGAGAGATCAATGGCAATTGTGCGCTCCCTTTTTTTCATTAGCGAGTAAGTAGCTTGAGTACGCGGTTTCGCCGGTATAATTGGCACTTTTTCTATCTTGCATAATAGAGCCACCCGTGCGCACGGGACGACACTTGGAGGTCGGTGAAAAAATTTTCCCACACGCGAGAGGAAGCTTTCCCTTTCTCATGGGAGAACTATCTCGTCGGAAATCTGTGGGCCATTATAAGATTACATATAGATATAATGCACATCGAGAAAATATGAAATTAAAATGGTTTTGTTGATTAAGATATAACTAAGTTTAGACGATATGTTGCGTAATTTTTAATTCGTATTATAAATTATAACATATATTTAATTCAAAATTAGAACTCAATAATTTGACAATTCTTACAAATAAAGTTGGTAAAAAGAGTTATTTTTTTACTAAAGATAAAAATATCTTTAAAAAGCGAAATTGAATTAAAATATCATTTTATGTTTGAGATATTTACGATATGTTTATATAAAAATATATAAATGTATAATAATGATAGGCGATGATAGGCGCCTGACAGACGCTTCTAAAAGAAAAAAATAAATAAATAAAAATACAATACATATTTGAAAATATATCGAAATCAAGGACCGGTGTAATAGTGTATTCATAGGCTAAAAAGCGGAGGTGAAGAGAGTCAGGAGGAATCACTTGTATATTATATTGTTCACTGTTATATTGTATTTGATACGTTCGTGATACGCAGGAACGTATAAACGCGTCTGCAAGACGCGAGGCACCAAAAAATTTTTTACGAGCGTATCATCTTTCCTTTTCTCATTATCCCGATGCACATTGCTGCAAGTTGCATTGGTGCACTTTCGCGAGAACGAGTGTACCGTGACATGAGACTTGCACAAACATGACGCCTTAGTCGGGCACGACGCGTTCATGGCAAGGCGTGAAATGGTGCTGTTACTTTCTTGCGAACATAAGAAGCTTGTATATTTTTGCGCCTCTTGTTTGTAAGATAATCATTTACAAATAAATCACGAGAAAAAGAAATTTGCCGCATCTTCCTATCACTCTCTCTCTCCTATGCCTCTGCGAATAAAAACCATCATGTATATACATATACATTCTTTATTGTCACATAATTATTTTGTACATTTTGCGCTACTTTCTGAATACAATATGTACTATACACGATGTTACACAAAATTTTAACGCATAAATCCAGTAATCTATAATTATTCACAATATATAACTCATTATTATTACCAGGACTCAGTTATATCTCAGTTATCTAAAATGTAGATATAAATTTTTTAAACATTTTTTTACATAGTGTTACTAAATTCTCACTCATTAAAAATCGTTAGAATCGAAAAAATTAGCAATAATAATCCTTTTTTTTAATTAATATAGTAGCTTACAATTTGTAATTATGCTTTAGACATAAATGACGAAGTGGAAGGGCAAGTGATTATTGTGTAACTATAGTTCATCAATAATAAATTAAAATATCTAAATTTTGATATTTAATTTCTTTCGTGAACAATTTAATGTTAATTTAATAATTAATGTTGTTAAAAAGAAAAAATTATGGTAAAAAATGTATGTTTTTATTATATATCTGTGTGCAAAAATTTTGAAATTTCGTGTATAGTACAATATAATATATACGTCTAATTAGAGTAACAGGTCAGGCTGATGTTGAATAGAACAATATCAACGACGGTACATTTTATGGCAGTGTATTATGGTGTATTGAATTTTTGTTTCTTTAATTATGGCAAGAACTGTTTGTTCTATCTTACTTATCTATTATTTTGTGCCATCGGTAATTCTCTCCTTCCTCCTTATTTTTTTCTGATTTTCGATTTTTTGTAAATTTTTTTAATGATCATTTACATAATTACGATTACGTATAATTTAAGCCAATGAGATCGATTAAATATAGTATATATATTTTTTAACTGTAAATGATAGGAAAATATGTTGACGATAAACTATAAAATTACAAGGCACGAAGAAGTTCGATATTAAGACACTTCTGATATTGAATAATTTAATAATTTTAATAACTTTTTAACTTCTTTTTTTATTGTCTAATGATTAATTTGCGCAATTTTCACAAAAAACCTCAATTTTGTGTTTTACGTTTAAAACAACCGTTCCCTATTTCTATCTTTTGCACACAAGCCATTAATAGCTACTTTACCGCATTTGTAGATGGACGGATAATTTCGTTAACAGTAGTACATCCTCTATGGCTAATGCAATATATTTTCACAATCTACTGTCCTTGATAACACTCTCCGGCGTGTTCAGCGCTTTTTTCCGATTTGCGATTGCATTAGTGAGTTTCCGTCTAGGACCGAGGGGAAGTTTGAGGGCCGCTATGTCGGTTTCAGTGAGCAGCATCAGAGCTTCCAGATCGATTTGCTCCGATTCCAAGATGGGATGTATGGATGTGAGATTATTGGCGACCAAAAATCTCTGTAAAGGTGTCCATTCCTCGTCCGTTTCCTCACCTTCTGTTCACAGATAAGTTCAACAATGTGATATTTTGCTTTTCTTGCAGGCAAAACATGACAATGCGAAAAAATGAAGGAAGATATTGATTTATCATGCATTGTTTCTTAATGGCGTGGAACGCATTGTCGTATTTTATTGCAAGGGCCATAAGTATTCCAATTGTACTTTATAATAAGGTTTGTTGAAGTTACCCGAAAGAAGATCCTCATCCCATAAGCTTTGCCTGCGTGCCAAACTGCCGGCACTTCCTATACTAATCTCTTCATTGTGTCCGTTTGGGCTAAACTTATTGCTGTTTATGGATCCGTTTGTAGAACCATTTGCTGAAATATTGCTGTTTTGCAATTGAACATCCGTCTGGGTGACTGGCAGATTATCTAGCGTAGATGTTATCTACAAAAGAAAATTACGAATTAATTTACGCAAATACAGAAAAAAATTAATTAGCTCATCTACCGCCTTTTCCACCTATTCATACATTTCATTGCATAATTGCGTAATTAGTGCATCCAATGAATATCTATTACGTATTTCTACGCTGTAATCGTTTTAAAGATCGTTAGCGTTTCTGCAACGATTCCCATTATTCATTTCTTTGTTTCTCTTGAATCATGATTCAAATGGGACAAGCGATAGCTCATCTCGTAAAAGAAAATGCAATGTAATGTTAAAGCGTACCGATTTCTACGAGTCGAGTAGTTATTACGAAGATAGTCATGCGGAACGGTTACATTTATGAGATGTAGATTACAGTGTGTAAAAAGCATTAAAATGATTGTAAAAATAAAAGACGTGGATTGTACGAATTTCTACAACTCCACAAGTTTTTAAAGAAAATAAAACACGTAGCTCAAAAGACAGAATATTTCTAGAGTAACTTCTTTGTTGCTTATAATTTCTCTAAACTTAATATACGTTTTTATTGTAAGCAAAGTACTTATAACTACCAGCAAACTTGTAAGAACAATCTAAAATATGCATGTTAAGACTAACCGCCCTTCTGAAAGCTACTGAACCGAAACCAGGTCGGTTAAAGATGCTGGCTGGTTCCTGAAGAAAAGCGGTGTCCTTTGCAACATTCAAGTTCTCTTCCTCCCTATCCTCCTCCTCTTCGTCATATATCCTTTCACCTAAGAGATCGGGCGTACTCTGTGATTTACTGAGAGTGCCCCATACATCAGAGATCTTTCCTCTTCTGATGCCTATGTGTTGAGGCTGAGTGTCATATGTGCCTACGTACATAACTTCAGAATCCCGTCGAACGCCGGTGAGACTTCGAACTGACTTCTTTCCATTCACTTCGACCTGTAATATATGCAACATTATATAATTTACTAACCATTAAATTAAACCAAAAAATCATTTGAGATAAGTTACAACTCGGTTCATTCTTTATTATTTCTGTTTTTTATACAACATCAAAAATTCTAGTTTTGGAAATTATTTTTAGATCATTTCTTTGAACGTTCAATTTCGTGAAAAATTGTATAATTTTCTTTTATTTATATATCTTTTTTACCTCGACGACTTTGAAGTCGTTGACGGCTTTTTTAGCTAAAGCTTTCCGACAAACTGTGCTGCCGTGTCTCTTCGTAGTAGTACCAACGATGTCGCTGAATGTCGGCGAAGGTTTCATTCGGCCTCTAAAGGTCAGTACCCCGGGCCGTTGAGAGTTCAACTCATTCATTGCGTCGAAGTCTGATTTAGCACGATCCTTTATGAGTTTCTTCTGTTCCTTTTCCGCCCTAATTTCGGCCATTTTTTGTTTCTTCATGTACTCCTTTAGTCTTAATAGAAACATACTTTTATATAATTATCTATAAAAATTTCAACATATATATTTAAAACGAAAAATAAACAGTTAAAAGAAATTATATAAAAATCTAATATAGATCAACAATGTAATAATACTGCTAATCGCAGTGAGTAAAAAAAAAAGGTTGAAATTGCGAAATTATTTGTGTTCTATCATAGAAACAGGTTTAATCGAATGATCCGCAAATGGTAGCGACATTAGTCTCTCTCACTCTCTCTTTTCAAGTGGGAGGTGCAAAAACAAATTCACATTCCACAACTGTACCTCTTCTCCGCATCTCTCTCCGCCTTTTCCCGGAGCAACCGGCTTTTCTTGCGATTATTCAATTCCTGATCGGCCTGAGCAATGTCCAGGAACTGCAGGATCTTCTCGCAGCCGTTCATCGCTGCGAGTTCACGGGCGGAATGCCGGTCGATGTCCAGCGACCAGATATTGCAACCGAATTTTACCAAGAATTTCACGCAGAATTCATGGCCCCTCGCCGCTGCCAGGTGCAAGCATGTATTACCGAAATAATCGGTCTTGTCCGGATCACCTCTACGATGAAACGATCATGTTATGCCGAGATAAATGTGAGGCAGATTTTTCAGATTTCATGAAGAGAAAAAAAAATCTGAATTTGTAATAAGAATTATATATAAGAGAATATGAAAAATATAATATACATAAATCTACATAAAATATTATTTCATTGCAGACTTCCATCTGAAGGGCGGCTTCAAGCTATCGCAAATTTATTGCGATATATTTGGGATATATTTCGAACATACATAGGCATATAGGCGTACGAAAGCGGAAAATTCGCAGGTCGATCAGTACAGAGTTTCAAGAGAAAGGCAGTACAGATTTATATTTTATAATATTTGGTAAATTCAAATGTGGATATTGAAATGTAAAATATACAGGGTCTATTTCTGACAATAGATTAAAATTGTTTTTTCAATTTCGAAGAAGTCTTTCGATCGAAAGTTATATAGATCTGAAGAACTCCTATTACCACTTGTAATTTCTTTTTACATTAAAAGCATTTTACGGAAAAATGTTAGAATCTCTGTGATCTCGTAAAAATTTATTGATCGTTTCCTATTTGAAGGCGAAAAGAAATAGTTAATGTTCGAGAGAAACGAGACGGATATTTCATTCGTTAGTTGTATCATAAATGGATGGATGTATTCGTAGATTTTCGGATACGTGGGATCTGCTTCGGCCTGCCTTTCATCAAGTATGCGTCCTATTGTTTTTCATTCACTCGACCGCGGTTTCCGCAACTGTGCAGTCGATGGACACCTGTAATGCGTGCTTCCGGTTCCGTGCACATATTATTGCGATGTACAATAGCAAGACTAAGGGCTCGATGACGGTACCTTCAGGTACCGGGGCAATTTGAATCGACATCCTGTCGTTTTGCTGACTTACTAGAGATCAATGTAACATTTATATTTTCATCGTTTATTTTAAAAACTTTATTTCTCAAAAACCTCCGACGAAGCGTTCGCGATAAATGGCCGGAAGCGTTGAGGGACTTTACAGTATTTTGGAGTTGGCTGGAGCGGCTTGCAGTTGAGGTAAGTATTAATTATGAAGTACCAGTGGGGCTATCGTGCTCACGGGGCACGACGACCTCGTGCCTGATGGGCACCAATGTTTCGTGTGAGTGGATAAAACACGAAGTTATATATTTTTCATCGAACGTGCTTCGTTTCTGTAACTTGTTTCTGTAACTTAGTTCCACGTATCGACTATATACACACATAAATTTTCATTTAGTTGCAGTGTAATATTAATCGTATAAACTATAAAGTCTACAGCAAGTTGTAATGATCAAATGCATTGTACGTAGTCGGGCAAGAATATTAGAAAAGAAACATCTTGTCGCGTGCATGAGCTATCGCATGCCCGCGGTGTAAAATACGACACGCTGGTTGCACTTGGTCACTGTGAAAAAGAAAAAGAAAATTAGGCATGCACATACCCTCTGGCGACTAGCAGTCTCAGAGCATCTACGTGGCCTTCGAAGGCTGCCCATAATGTCGGGGTCATTCCTCCTTCATCTCGCGCGTTACAATCCTTTCTCGTGGCTTCCTTCAGAACATCCAATATGCCTTCTTGCGCGGCCCTTCGACAAAGAGAAATATATTATATTATTCTCTTACATTATCATTATTGTTCTTAGGCACGTGTTTTGTTCTGAGTGTTGAAAATCGAATATTAAGACAGAGTAGTACAAATATTGATATTTAATAAGTTATATTCAAAACAAATAAAATTATGATATCTGGGTATTGATAAAAAACATCTTACTCATCAATTGCAAATATGAATAGTAATGTATACAAAGAAATATGTAAAAAATACATAGATATATACGGTACTTATTCTCCAAATATCTTAATTAAATTAAATATTAAAATTAATACTAACATTAAATTAAATTAATTTTAATTGATTCAACAAATTCATTACATATGCACAGTATTTTATGTTTCACTCTGTCTTTCTTTCTCTTCCTGCTAAACAAAAAAACTATTTTTACTTTTTCCGAATATTCGGAAGAAACAGTACAGTATTGCGGAAACTCTACTCGTTATTTTATTGTGCATCGTGATGTCTTATCTTTTAACTAGGATGTTTTTTTTAATTATTGTCACAGTTTTCGAAGAAAAATCATGAACCTCAGCATAGCAGAAAGCTTCACATGACGGCATGAAATATATCTATGCGTCTCAACATCTGATAATCTGTGGAGACTTGGCTCGTGATATTTTAATTAACGAATTAAACTGTTAAAACGCTTGCAGTAGCGCGATGCGTTTTCCTTCCTTTTAATTAGGGAAATTGGCATGTTAAAAAAACCGCGCGTGATTTGCGAGGCGAGACAGCAGGTACTTTCGATTCGCCGATGCTGCATTCCACGAACTGATTTCAGCGCATATCATTTCTCGGTACTTCGTCAATGTCATCGAGTTATAACATTAATAATCCTTTTAATTAATCCTAAACAGTATAAGTTTAACACACAAGCTATATTAAAAACAAATAAACATTTAATAAGTATGTTATTATTTTTCTTTGCATTTCTTAACTTTAGATTACATTCGAAATTAAACGTAGTTTCTCAGATACTTGTAAATTTCTTGCCACTTAAACTCATTAATCCGTACCATTTTGAGATCTAATTATAAAATTAATATCTTACAAAGTTTTGGAGAATTAAATTCCAGAAGCATAATAACGAAATCCTTTTTTTCACTCGATTCAAAGCGAGCCGGACAAAATTCGAGATATTTTTTTCCAAGTTAATTACTAAAAATTCAAACATTTTGAAGACAATCGGCTCTCTGTGGATTGAAGTTTCGTTAAGAAAATATCTTGAAATTCAATAGGGAGATATAAACGCATTGTCGTATAGAATTCGATTTGCTACACGCCGCGTATATCGTCCGTAGAACGAATACATCAATCGCGCGGCGTACAGCACACTCGCCATTGCTAACGAAAGTTGATTGGTTCGCTAGAAATTTTTACAGATGATCCGTGCGATAAATTCCGTGCGTGGTTGAATGAAATAAGAGCACAGGCCTCCTCTCATGCATGAATTCCGCACGCGCTCTGCCGATGTACATGATACCGCGATGAAACAGGCCGTAATTACGGTTATTTTGCGCTTGTGGACAATTATTCGAAATCTTCTAATCTCTTCAATTACTAAATCGCGCGTACGTTACTGGGGATCGCTGTTGCTCTCTTTTACATGTGTTCAATAATACTAATAAAAAAAGTCGGTTGTTAAAACGTAATACATTAATTATCGCTTAATGTGTCTCTATTTATTCCAACAGCTCATTGCGCTTTGCAACTATAAAATATAAGAGATTCGATTCGGTTCACGTCTTCTCACTTCGCTCCACTTGCTTGGTAAACATCGGTCCGATTTCCTTAACGAGATAGAGCGATTATCATTAATCCTGTGCGAATCGTTTAATTTACGATTCAAATTGTCTGAAAAAAATCTCTCGGCATGCCACGTGAAGTTCGCCACGAAAATTAAATTCCTGAAAGAACATTACGAAAGAACAATGGAACAGAAGAAGCATTGAACTTTCGTACAATCGGTTAAGACTTGAATACCAGCCTATTCGCATTTTTTTGCAGCGTGGAGTGCGAGGACAAGGATAGCAATAACGTATTCAAAGTCGTATATCCGATCTGTAAATCTTGCCAACATTATTATCAACATTCGCGTATTATTCGTAATGCGCTAAATACTGCTGCAGCTATTCTCCCCGTGTTATCGAATCGCCTCGCGCGATCGTTGCCACACGCCGTCGGGAGACTCGGGGGATATTTTTTTTCTCAATCCCAAGGCGAGTATACCTCTCCCCGCGACATTTCTCCGCTTTCCGGGATTATAAGTCCTACGGGCGAGCGCTGCACAAAACGAAAACAAGAGCAGAGGAAGAGTCGGAAGAGGGAGAGAGAGAGAAAACCGCGGCATCCTCTCGGAAAGGGTAAAAAAAAAAACAAAACAAAACAAAAGTGCACTCACTTATGAAATCGCTCGGACGACATTTCGCGCGCGCCGCTCACTGCTTCGACTGCTTCGCGAATCCGGCTATCCAGACAGCATCGTTCGCGGGTCCGGGTGACGCTCCTCGACGAGGAGCGTTCCGCTCGAGGATTCGGCGAGGAGGAGGCGAAGGTACGGCGAAGAATAGGTACGCCGAGGCGGCTGGACGCCCGTGTCGAGAGTACTGCGTCCGGCGGTGCACTGTTCGAGCGAGGCGAGCGGCGGCTCGGCGGGGCGAGTTACACCTGGGGGCCCCCGGCGCGCGGTCCCCCGCGCGTTCCCCATCCTCCTCCCAGCTGTCACGCTTCGCTCCGCTCCGCTCCGACTCGATAACCTCACCTCTCGCCACGCTCCGCGCGATTTGCCGCCACCTGTCTACGGGCGCCGCGCGCCGCGCCGCGTCCTGCGCCACCTGGAGCACGTCCTGCGAGATTCGTAGAGTCAACGGTCAACGTACGGCTTGGATTCAAATCGCGAGGGCGCCCGCCGCCCGCATTCAATCGCCCGCGATTCGGCGAAGAAGGAGGCGGAGCAGGAGCCGCGGCAGGAGGCTGAGTCCGCTCGAAAGGTGGAAATTGCGCGTATACGGTAATTTTCATGCGCTTTGTCTCGAGTCGAGAAACATTTTATGTTCCTTATTTTAGACAGGAATGAAAATTTTGTCGGTTCGATTCATTCGTTCGCTCGATTCGCGCTGTATCGAGGTGAAGTTGAATTAACGTCGCGGACGCGGAACGGATATCGAGCTCCCGAATTGTCGAGTCTGAAATGCCACGACGGGTTTAATTAGTAAGTTTTAGTTCATTATCAAATTTGTGTTTGACAATTGACAATCGCTCGGAGCAGATTCGACGTTCGGCGATTTGTCCGGGACTCCGCGAGACTCATTTGATCGGGATTTCGCGCGCGGCGCGAGCAGTCGGCAATGTGTATTTTCGGAGTAAATATTCTCGCGAATATTCATCTCTCGATCTCAACTCGCTCATTTATTATTACAAATGCGAGATCGCAGGTAATCGCAGGTAGAACGCGAGCGTGTGGGCGTATGCGCCGTGCACATTAAAAATGCAGCTGGGGACAACAATTGTCGTCGCATTATCGCTACGGCGCGGCGGTATAATAGTGCGAGTGGTGAGACTGTCGCGTGAAGTTGGCCATGATCGAATCCGCGAATCTCATTCGTCAATTTAGTTTCTTCCATTACGAACTTGCGAGACGCTTCAGACGCTATGCAGGTGGCCCGTGATTCTGTGCGATCGCGTCTTCTCTCGCTTCTCCGCGTACGTTTCGCCGCCATAGCGCGATAAAGTCGCGTCGCGGGACTCGCGGGTGCGATTAACGTCGGGAGTGCCGAGAACAGTGGACGCGCGATCAACACGGTGTTTCGGGAGAGTGCGATTAGCGGCGGGACGGTAACGGGAGTACTCCGTATCGACGCGCGACCGTGATTAATGGCGTTTCGCGAGAATCGCGAGTGAACGCGCCGGGGAGGCATCAGGGCATCAGGCGACGGCGGAGCAACACCGTGGGTAAGTGTCTGATTACTACTTATTCGCCGTTTGTCGCAGTGGGGAATTTCGCCGCTTTAGAACCCCCAAGCGCGACTTTGTTCGATCCTCTGCTATTACATCGAATATCTCAAAGTGTTTGGCCGTGGCATCTAATGGAAAAATTCCTCGTAGAATATAGTATATTTCAGTATATCACAGTATATTGTGATATAATATCAATATATAGTATAGATAATACGAATATGCGACAGTTTCGTTAAATAAACTCCGCGCGATCGTAGCGCGACTGGTTCACGTGATAAAGCGTACGAGTGCGCGACAGTTTCGTCAAGTGCGTTCCGTGCGACCGTAGCGTCTTCCTCCGACTGATTTTCGAATTGATTGATTACGTAGAAGTTGATTAAAATATATGGTATAGCAATTGAATGTAATAATCATATCTTTATTAGAATTTTTTTTATTAATGACCTATTTGAAGGTCGAATTGAAATTATTTTAAATAATTTTTATATTGACTTGGTGGTGGCAGATATTTTTTTTAGCACGGATTCCAAGATTTATATTTTAGAGAAGTGAATCATTTATCGTGCGATCTGCAAGTTATCTTTCGCGTAGTTCGCACGGTAACGATGCGGTTTTAACTGTTTATAGGTAAATTCTTTACCGATGATTAATGTCCGGTGTTGTGAAAGTAACTCTCTGCAGAGAGCGTTACTTGTCCATTAGAAATGTTTATCATGCTTTGTGCCGAATAGGCTTGCTCCTACTGGCTGTACTTTATATTTTTCTAATAAAAAAAAGTTTATCATGCTTTTTTTGTCCAATAAAAAAATGTTCACCGTGCTTTCTTTAAAGTCAAGTCGATGTCGGAACAAGAGTTCTAATGGTATTAATTTTGAATCATTTATTGGACTTTCGACAAAATGCAACACGAATCTGTAACGCGTAACGAAACGTGACAAATTGTTATGAAAAAATTATATATAAAATTTTTTTCTTTGAAAAATACACATAGCTACGATTAATTTTGGATTGCCTTTTTTATTGATATGTTACAACAATTAGCATGCAAGGGTTACATTGACTTAAAAATTTTACACCGATGCTTATCCGCGTCTTAGCGCATTAATTGTACCAAAACTAGAACCGGTGAAAATTCTGAACTGTAGAAAGATATCTCGCTGTGTCGCGAACGATATCGTTGAAATTCTCGTAAGAATTAAAGTATTTTTAGCGTTTGATTGTCGCGAGAAATTGTTCGAACAGTCTAGGTTTTTCATCAAGGCGCATATCGATTTAATACGAATTAAATAATTTAAAAGTTATTAACGTGAGAGCTGAAATGAACGGATTTTTCGCTCTTATACGAAAATCTTTATCAAAATATCGTAAATAATCATCTTTTCTCTTAAATTACGTATATAGATTTATATATAATGCAGTTAATACATTACCGTACGTGTCTCAGGTTATGAGACTTATCAACGAAGTTATTCTTTACTTTAACTTTTATCCATTGCGGTGCGCGAATAAAAGATATGCATTATCTGCTTTAAGAATATCTCTCGCGCGTTTAATAATTTTGATGATTCTTATTTCAATCGCTTGCGCTTGTTCGTTTCTTCGATTTGAGATATTTTATCGGATCGAAGCAGCATCGCACATTTGCAAGAAACGTTATCCAGTAGTGTCTCTCATTAAGTTATACCTCGATCACAGTTCGATTATGTTTACTCCGTTAAATATGAGTTATGTACATGCTCATTACATACATTCGTATCCGCTACAGAGTGTTAACTATAGATATAACTTAATTTTACTATGTATTAAAATCGCGGTTTTGCAAACATGTAAGCCGTTTCAACGAGGGGTTAGAAAATTATGAAAGACAATCGACGCACCTCGGTTTCATACATCACCCGATACACTAAACTTACACATTTCCTGGTAGAAAAATACCAGACGACTTTAAGAGGCGCGCTATTATTATGATACCTATCGATATCAAATCGTTAATTTACATATCAACAATATATTGCATGTGATTGCATTTTTTTTTATTATACTACCTTTTTCGGTACTGCTTTCTACGTTTGAAAACAAATGAATGAGATTCTGTACAAAGATCGATCGTATTTTAATCAGTAACACTCAACTATTAATCATATCTAAGCGATCTTTAATATGTATAGCGTTTCCTAGAATCTCCGACATCAATTTCACAATAATGGATATTTCTTGACCAATTTGAAGGTACACTTTTATGATTTGAGATATGGAGGCACCATTTTCAAATTATATACCCTCGAAAGTGACGTCTTTTCATGAATGAAGTTTATCGTTTATTTAAACTTAAATGAATTTTATTTCTTCAAAATTTTGATTTAGAATTTAACCATCAAGACTCAGTTTTAAATATTAAAACATTGCAACAAATAATTCCACTATTAATTTTTCAATTCTCTGACGTGAATTACTTACAATCGAAAGCGCTCGCGAGAGCAATTTTTCTAATTTTTATTTTTAGGACTTTTTTGCGTTCTCATCGATTCTTTATTTATTTACGCTGATCAGAACATCGTTTCAATGTTATCCTATAGTTTTTCTATTGTTTAATGATTTTATCTGAATAAACAATCTCGATCACTTTAGCATCGCGTACGCTTTTATTACGTTATTATTGTAATTAGTTATTTATGAAATTTTTTGTAAAGTCCCGAAAAATTTGGGATTAAATTGCGATTTCTCTGTTCGCGTAATTTGTGGATTTTTATTCTGCAAACTTTTGCTTCGGAAATTTATCACATCCGCAACAAATAATAGAATTTTTTCTAAATAATTCCTTAGAAATATTAATTCTCAGAGAAATTTGACAAAATAAAAATTGGGCAGTATGTTTTGTTTTCTCGACAAAGGTAAATCGATCAGGACTAAAATCTCGATTATTCTGTCGATTTTGAAACGAATTAGATAACTATTACTATAAAATACAACATATGTTTCTCAAAATGCAGTACATTTTTCGCAAATCTATTTGCGACGCGAATTAGGGGGGGTGAAAAAGTGAAAATTTTAACACGAATTTGTCGAAATCGCGGTTGCGTAATTATTTGATATGACACGAAGATATTTTATTGAATGAGAATGAGAGAGTGAGCTGAAAGGTGGAAGGTGGAAAAGTTTGTCGACAATCGACCACTAGACGTTTTCCAAAATAAAAACAATCTCGCTTTTCTCGATAGGGAGATTAATCGTTAATATACATGTATAATTAATGTTGTGCGAACTTGTTGCGGGATATAAAAATATATTACACGCGCGATTGTGGGCCGTTACTTGGTTACAACTCTGTTACTCTGACGCTATTAGACTGCACACTATTGAATGAGATCTTTCCTTAGAAATGTGATGATTTTTCTTTTCATTGCGGGCAATCCGCACGAGTGTATCGAGAGATTCGTGTGTTCGACGTGTTTCTATGATTTCGAATTCTTCTATGATTTGTCATCGCTTAAATGTTTAACGGAGAAGTACGGAATAGGCCGCAGTTTCGCGTGCACGAACGGCAAATGCGTTAACAACAGATCGGAAAAGATCTGAGATCTATATAAATATTCAGTTCCCATATATATGTTTCGTGGTTGGTTTGAAGAAGAGTCTTAAAGATACTTTCGATGGCACTAACACCAGATAAGATTCATATTAATCCATTCGTTACCATTTTTAATCTTTAAGCGAATTTTTTAGCGAAAATTATGTCAGAGTGAGAACGAATTAAGTAAACAGATAAGTAAAACGTTGTTTAGAAAAATAATTTTGTCTAATATCTTTGTTTCAGACAAATATTGGAAAGAAGAATGATGAACGTAACGAATGATGAAGAGGCATATAAGGTATGTAGAAGCGAATATATCACGTTTAATGCCGCGTGGCGCGTACGAACGCAAGCACAGCAATCCAGCTGTACCTACTTGCGTTAAAATTGTTCGTTCAATATATACAACAAAAAGACATATTTAAAAAAAAGATACTATGCAATAAATACGCAAGGACCGCTATTAAAAATATTCGAATTAAAGACAATCGAAAATATCTTACGTGTTTTTTAAAGTTAATTAATCCTTACTTTGCTTTATTAAAATACAAAGGAATTTTTTAATCGAAGAATTAATCATATGTGATAATTCTGGAAAATGTAGATAATGTTGGACAATTTAACAATTAAATTCACTGTAACTGATGAATTAATATCAAAATTTTCCTCAAATTTTTTATGGATCTCATGTGAAAGTCATGGAATCTTTCTTATTACTAGGAAACTACATCAAAATCGATCAAATCTTTAAAAAGGATACGAATCAATGTTTTCAAAGCATATGAATAATGAATAATGCACATATAACGGAAATATAAAAAATAAATGTACTCGAGAAACTAAAAATGTAGAATAAATAACAAGTCTAAAGGTGGAATCACATAATGCAATTATACATTCTGTTATCTAGCGTAATTTATTGGCTCGTATCCTTTTTTAAAATATCTCTTTTGTATCGGTTCTTAAATGTATTCACGTCGAAGAGATTATAGCGTTCTGCTTTCGTATACGAGAAAATTGTGCCATATAAATGCATGAATCCTGTAAAGAGTAACGTATGTATGTTATATAAATATAATTACGGCTAACATATTTCTCATAGATCCTCCTTCGTCGCCAATTTTCGCAAATATTTATGAACGGTACATATTATATATAGGGCTTACCGCTTACCGCATATTTGACTGCGTACTTTATAACTAGCTGCGTGAATACCTTGGTGCAATAAATAAAAATTCCATATATTAATAATAAAATGAAGTATACTTGAAATTTCGTATAAAAGATAACGTTTTCTTATTTACGCATTTCTTATTTGTACATTTCGTTAAAGCAACAAATTTAAATTATCATTGAAATGAAAAATAATTTTTGTTTCGTCAAATAAATATGTACATTATTCTTTTATTGCAATATTAAGAGCTGAGAACAAGCGCGTCGTCTGAGACACTTCGTATTCTAATAACACCGTTTTCTATATACCGTACAAGATTCATTTTGAATCGCGCTACATATATCCCTCTGACTTTATCGTCAGAGATTTGACACAACAAACGCTCGAACGAGTTAATCTGAAACGTATTTACAGGTGAACGTTGTATTTCCCGTTACAAGTACAAAACTCTCTTTAGTATGGTTAATCACGTTTTGCATTTCAACGAATCTTATACCTTACGTTAGGTCTATTATCGTCTATTGCGCTACGTCAAAATTTGTTGGTAACAATTATTTGTCATCAATATGGCAAACGTTACAATTCCTCGTTACCTTTGCGCGAAAGGCAAAGCGAGTGTTTGCCGATAAAAAAATGATTGTCTCGTTACAAAACGCAATTCGTACGTGATCTTGTTTTTTTTTTTCGTTGAGCATGTTTCACGACGTAAAGTCGCACCCGACGTGACAATCGCGATCGATCGACAGTCGCATCGTCGAATCCTTGCGTGATCTTCTCACATTTGCGAAGGGACATTGCCAGCAATGTTGAACACGATTCTCTTACTTCGCAAACGTCGTCGTTATTTTCCCCAGGATGGCCTGAATACATTGTTAATCCTCAAAAATCTCTTTCGCTCTTCATACCTCGTCATCTTCTATGTACAAAGTCGTTTCATATTTCTCATTGTGCTCGATCTGCCCCGAATTGTGCGCCGCTTCCTCAGCTATCGTCCGCGAGTCCATGTCGTCGGCGATAATTATGGGATTTTGTCCTTGCACCGTCGTATCGGTCCTCTCGCTCGATCTGTACGACTCGCATTTCCCATCGTCATCGAGATCATCCCCCGAGCTTTCCACGTCAATCTCCGTGACGTTCTCCAATTCCGGTTCCTCGAGCAGCATATCGTCCTCCGTAGGCCCCTCGGATGACAAAGCGCTAGGATTCGCCTCCTCGATATCCAGTACGTGACTCTCGTCAGAATTGTCGCCGCGGCTCTCCTCGGCGTCGAGGGACACCGTCGTAAAGTATTTTGGCTCGCAATCAGATCCGCAGCCCTCCATAACGACCTGAGTATTCAGGGAGTGCCGACTCGACTGAGGATCCTTCGGGTGCCTGTCGAAGGATCGCCGTCTGTTGTCGTCCGATCTAGAATGATGTAGCTTAGGATGACGCGGTTGCCTTCGCAGATTCTCCCCGCTGTTCGCTCGGAACTTTATCTCTGCGTCGTCAAACATGCACCGGGTACAATCGACGCTGAATCTATCTATTGATAGCTTCCTGTAAATTCGGTTAGAAGAGAGATTTCCTTGATTGCTTTTAGCAAATGAAGTTTTAAAATGATTAGACATCTTATAATGTATAATGTTACATACAAACTAAACAAAGAGCAGTTTAAAGTCTTATAAATTGTGATTTGTGCAATCTTAAAAAAAATATTTATAGATAATTTATTTTTAATCTGAAATAAATTTTGATTTTATTACTACGACTATAGTTTAAGATTGCAATAAATTTAAATTTGTGATTGTAGACCATAAGTAGTCATCCAGCAAATGACACGTGCACGTTAGAAATACAAAAAATAATACACTGAGAAAAAAAATTGTTAATCCCAAGAAATATTTAGTCCGATACGTTCAACTTTAAACATTTTAGTTAGTTAACTAAATATTAGTTGTTTCTGATGATTATAAAATTCGATCTGAAATTCTTTCCTACCTGTAGTCTCCCCTTCGGAAATCCGGACTTCTTCGGAACTCGAGGCTAGCTTTTCGATGTCCCATCGTTCTGTCGAAGCGACGATCGCCGCCGATTCTGTCGAAGGACATTTTACGGAAGTTTGGCGAGGAGACTTTGCGGAAGTCCCGTGGCGAGGCCTTACTGAATTCTTTCGATACCACCGTCAACTCTTCCAACAGTCTCAGATCTATTGAATTTCTTTTTCTTGGCACGAAGTCGTCTGGATATCTACAATAAGCACCTGATCGAGATGTTCATATGATTATTGATATCTAGACATGTAAACGCATTTTTTAACGCTTATCCGGGCAATCTTCTTGGTCCATGAATGTGATAACATCCGAATTCCGATTACTCGAAAAAAGTTTAATATGCATTATAGCATTTCGTGCAGACAAAATGAATTTAATTTCCGTAGTTACATAGTTTCTGAACTAAATAATCTAATCATTTTTTTTTAATTGATATTTTTAGAGTATCTTACGTATCTGATGATTACAGCGATCTTAAAAATCTGAGTGATCACATATTTTAAATTATTTATTTATAGCCACCTGGCAATTTAGGCGAGTGCACGAGAGTCGGCGGTGGTCGCGTAGCTTCATCGACTTCCTCAACGTCTTCCACTTTTGTTTGACGAAGCAGCTGATGTCGTCTCGCTGTGTCGGATCGGTCCTTCACTTTGAGCGTAATGGGACCTTTGTTCGGTATATGTAAATCCATCGCCATTGAAGCTTGACTACCACTCATCTTTTGATGCTCCAGGCTTTCTCTGCTGATCTATTAATTATCGAGAAAAGAGGTCTTATTAGCCATTCTGAATTATAATCATTGAGAGTATTGAGACAATAAAGACCAATTGGAACTTGCAAAAATTTATATTATGCAAAATATAGTACGTTTATCTCTTTTCGTTTGGTTAAAAAGTAATATAGTTGTTGTTAATTGATTAAGTTCGCGAAAGGTTTTGTTTCTTCTGCAAGACGTTGATGTTTCTTTCTCGATTACCTGATGCGGGCTGTAGCTCGGATTGTCGACTGAAAGAGCGTGTCTCTGCAGCAATTCTGGATTAAGTAGCGAGCAACCCGCGTATTTAGGCGATCTTCGGCGCGGCGACTTTTTGTCGACTAACGTTGGTGCGCTCGGGCTTTTCTTTATGGAGTGCGCTACGCCTTTTTCTCGCAGATCCTTTGAGAACTGCATAAACTCCGCCGTCAGCTGTTTCCTCGAGACTTCGTGCGTACTGGGACTCGGGCTGCGGTTCACCCTAAACAGGCCCAGCTGATGGTCCCATTTTGTTGTCTGGCTCGATGTCGATCTTCTGTTGCGCTGACTTTTCGAACTCCTCAGCGTTGATGCCTGGTTGAAGCGATAGCGAGCTGGCACCACCTTGGCCGCGCTGTCACGCGCTTCGAAAGTCATCACGCAGGCAGCTACCACAATGAAGCCTGAAAATCGTTATTTATGTATAACAGAACGTTAACTTTTACATTTGCCTAACATTTACATTTGCCTATATTTACATATATTATTGGACTTCGGATTTTGCATCATTAATCATTGAACGCACATTAATTTATCAATGCAAGTTTAAGCAAAGTATGTTCTACATAATTGAACAATTTATTCGACCATTCAAAATAGAATGGAAATGGAACGTGATATATGAGATTTTATTTCGTTGCATGGTGATTATCTTTTAACTACAATACTTAATCTTCATATAATTTGATTTTTTAATTTAATTATAGTGCAATTATTTTACCTTCTTTTATTTAAGATTATTAAAACTTGATGTTTCACGCGAATTAGGAAAACGCGAGTCAGAATATTCTAAAAATGTATTTTCTCTGAATATAAACGTAATTAAAGATGTGTAGATAAGATAAAATCTACGTGGCGCTTGTATCCGAGGCTGCTCGTCGATAGTCGAGCGTAAGCCTCCATAGCTCAGGGGTTAGAGCACTGGTCTTGTAAACCAGGGGTCGAGAGTTCAAATCTCTCTGGGGGCAATAATTTTTTTTTTTCTAGTTTCTATCAAGTGTTCTCATTCGTGCAGTGCCGCGCATTTTTCGCGTTTTGCCCGCAATTTTCCGCTTTACATCCATTACATTACTTCATATGCTTTTATTTTGTAGCTATTATTGGATCTTTGTATTTCCTCATGCAAAACTACTTATCTGTGCAATTTTGTATTTTTTTTTTTTAGAACTATAGATCTATCTTTGCTCATATATATCAGTATGATCAAAAACACAAAAGCTCATTTATGAGGTTAATATAATATCTTCGATATGATATCGTATATGTTGAATATGTATTGATTTTATGCCAAAGAGAAAAATTATAGTACAAGCCTTGGTTTACGGTTAGAGACGATATTAATTCTCTTTCAAAAGATCAATTTACAAAACGTTGAGAGAAATTAAATTTTTACACGATCTTTTCCACAATCTTATTATATCATATTATATAACGAATATATCAACATATACGTTATGCATGAAGTGCTGAGTTACATGCTATTATCTACATCCCGGGATGTTTATGTGCATTTTGCAACAGTGCACCTATCTATTACCGCGCAGTTTCAAGGAGATCAGTGTTGCGTAGCTAGTCGCTCGGTCGAACAAGTGTATCGCGCTTGTAAATTGTGCAAAATGTATGTTACTATTACCTCCCAGACCCATAACGACAGGGCCGGCGTAGCTCAGATTATTCAGGTGAAATCCGCGCGACTCGTTCTTCACCTTTACCGTGATATTACCTCTGATCTCTTGCGCCACCGACAGCTGGTCCGCGTAATATCCTATTGAAGAAAACAAGAGAAACGCTTTCATTCTCCATCACGCGTATATATATGCAATGATTGATGAGACATAACGGAATGAGAAAAATAGAATAGATATAGCAGAAAGATTGTTTTAATTGTTCTAATGTGATATTTCGCGCTTGACAAGTTATAAAACTGTGATTACGCAATTACAATTAATAAAAGATTAAAATTTATAAAATTAAATTATGAAATGTTTTACATTGAAGAGAATTGCCTTACATATTAAGGGAGATAATATTTTCCAAGCGAACTTTCTTTCTCGTTCCGTTATATCGCATTTTTGCCTACTTCTTTTCAATACAACATGAATAGATAAAGATATTTTTTTATATTTAAGAGAACAACATTCTGTGTTAAATCTGGATATTGTGATTCAATATTCTGTTAGATATCTATAAATGATTAATAGTGTTTATATGAAGTGGAATGTTGTTTAATATAAATTTGAAATTCAAATTTTTGGTTCATGCACGTAAGCATAAGCAAATTGCAAGCTTGCGTGTGAAAAAAGATCAACTTTTTTGCAATGGGAAAGCGTGAATTAATTATAAAATTTAATTATTTATATTTAGAACGTACAAGTTACTCCAATTATTTTCTTGTCGTCGCAAATTCATTAAATAGAGTAACTTTTTGCGAAGTTCCTTAAATGTGAGGCATTAAAGACAACAGAAATTGGATAAAGAGTTGATCATTGCAAAGGATTGATCTTTCCAAAGTGCTCTTTGCAAACGCCTCTAAACGGTTAGCGGTTTAGAGGCCAAGGCGGAATAGCACTCGTCGGCATGGACGCATGTTTAATTACGTAGTTCTACTCACCTATGGTCGCCATGCAAGCTCCTAAAAGCATTAGCAGCAGCCCAATTCCGAGAGCTTTGCAGGCGTGCCACAAGCACCGCGTTGTCACCTTGCCTCTCACCACCTGTTCGATTTAATTGCCGTCGTTAACAGTTAATAAACCTGGACGATGGTCCAGTTGTTTATACCCAGCAACAAACGTTTGTACGTCCGCGTTTACACGGCGCCGTTAAATCGATCAGTACGATTTACGATGTTACATTAACGGTGTAACGGCACAGTAACGTTTTTCGGTGCTGGTAACCACGAGCGACGTACTCTTAGCATTTATCTAAATTATTGCATAGTGATAGAATAGTGCTAGGATAATTAATTTTAATCGCAGATTAATTAAAGAAAAAGTAAAAATTCTTTCTACGAGCATGTGTCATTGAGATTAGTTCTATGTATTTACACAGAATTGTGTGCATAGATATTAGCAGAGAGCGATAGCAATCCCTTTCAGCAGCACTAATAATTGTAGCTTCCTATAATTATGTTTGCTTTTGTTTGTACGAAATCTGCGTATATTTCCGCTGAGACGGATTCTGCATCGGAAGAGTAATTTCTGCAGGTGAAATTTGTAAACGTGCTAGAGATGAGCAAAATAGGGATATATATCTACGTACATGCTCTCTACATATGCATATTATTCGACTTTCTCTCTCTCTCTCTCTCCCTCTCCCTCCCCCTCCCTCCCCATTTCTCTTCCTGCGGCTGATATTCTTATCGATCGATCTACTCCCTAATAATTACACTAAAGAGACTGATAAAGAAAAAAATCAGCTTCGTGATACGGTATATATATAATATATAATCACTATAATCAATACTTCGAATTTTTATAAGCGATAAGAATGTACCTGCACGTTCCAATTAGCCCCAGGCCCGCAGGCTCTTCTCTGCGTCCCCTGCCATTGAATGCTTCCTTGTGGCATCCTGTGTGCTCATAAAACCAATTGTTTCATTTTAATATTATTGCAATGTAGAAGGAAAAGAGAAAGTTACATAAAAGTATTACTATAATATTAAACAGATTATTGTAATTCTGAACAGATATGGCTTGTTGGTATCTCAGAAATTTTTTAATATAGCAAACGGTCAAACGTATACACGGTATTTTTCCGTCGCGTTCTGCTACATAAAAATTCAAGTGGTTTCCAATATTTTGTTCACATGCACAGTTTTCATAAAAAGTTCTTTTCGCTCGCGTATATACTCCTGACGTCTAGAAAATGAGAAAAATAATTATCTAGTTTTATATAATTATTTTAATGATTCGTGTCAATTTGCTTTAATTAATCTTTCATCATAACATAATTATATCTAATGTGATAAAATATTTGAGTCGCTAACTTGAAGTTTATTACTGTAACCTAATTATTGTATGCAAAGTAATTACATCGTGTTTCTTAAAATAGATATAAATTGATAATAGGAACGATAATCTTTTGCCGCGATGAATATAAAATGTTATCGATATAAGATATTACTAGTCCATCTATTTTTATGCATCTCTTTGACATTGATAGCGTTAAGATATCGATATTCTGTAGGAAATTTTAGAGGCTTTTAATAAAGTAGTCGATCCTCTTGCTAAAAATTTTATACACTTACGTATATGACGTCTGATAAACTTTTTTAACTTAGATCTCAATTTGTAGTAATAAGAGCAGTAGCAAGAAAAGAAGCGAGCATCTTTCATCAACTCGTATGCTACGTAAATTATTTCTAATTTAAATCTTCTTGACTTTTTAACGGAGCTAGGGGATTAAATCAATCTTTGTGTGCTGGACATTAAATTTATTAAATTGCTTACCCTCACGTTTTCCAGATCCTTAGGCCTCAGAAACATACGATCCCAGATTCTGTAAATATTTTCAACTAAGTATCATGGAAGAAGAAGGATAGAATTGTTAATAAAAAAAAAAATTATAAGCTGAATTATATACGAAGAACGACACCGTATCACTTTTACACACGTGCGGACTGTATAGTGTCAAAGAAACGGGATTCTTTTGTCTTTATTTCTATTTACATTTTTTTTTTCAATTGACACTTGAAACAACGTTCGATTTGCAATGAAAGAATGTAATAACGCGCAAGTTTGTTAATTAGCAATTCCGAACTCGCGGCATTATGTGCGATCTCTCATCACGTTTTGTCGCACAGCATCGTCCGTGACGTCGTTTTAATTTGACGTTCGTGTACAACGGACACACGCTGGGTGCGCGCTATTCAACACATCTACATTCACTCGTACACAACATCGCTAGCTACGCATACGCCACTCGAGGCCGCGCACAATGTGTACGTGAGAATTATCTGACTGCGTCGTCAGTGTGCACTCGCTCTCGTGTATGGCGAATGCGGCAGAAGTGCATTGTTCGTACGCCTGTGCCTCCCGTATTTCGTCTTTCAACGTCGAAACTTCGCGCGTCCTATCGATTCAAATCCCTCTTTACAGTTGCGGCGGTGATCTTTCTCTGATGTCTCGAAAGTTGGCCATTTTCGCCCGACAGACTCTGTCAGCGGCTGTAAGCTCCTCCTTTGAACACAAGATCCCACTAATGCCGAAGTAGTTTTTGTGCCTATATTCTTAAATCTGCCTTTCTTGTCGGTGAGATCATTTGAGACGTTGATAGAGGAGAACTTTATTAAATTGATTCTTCAGTAGTTTATTCCTCGCAAAAAAATGCATTCAAAAATTGACGTTTACAGTACAAATATCTGCCTTTTTGCGCCGCGAAAAAAATTGTGCAAGCAAAATTTATATTTCGCGAAAAAAAAGAGAAAAAAGCGTATAGCTCTATAGATAACAAAAACTAAAACGATTTCATGGAATATGGAATGCAATTTAATTAATTACAATTTAATCAAAAACAATCGAGGTGGTCACGTATATGTACGCGATTCAACCATATGTTTTTTGACGGTAGAGATCCGCGTATCGTTATTCGCGTTAGATACAACACGAAATTTCGTGCAGAATGATGAATAGTCGCGATTTAACGATACAACTCACAATCGCTCTTGCTCCTTGTCTATCCAACAAGGGTACGTGCACAAGTCTACTTAAGTTGCATGTTACGAACTCTCCACTCTGCTATTTCAGAACGATTCGATCCGACGGACTCCCGAGAAACTGCTTTCCGTCGGATTGCTTCTCGCACTTCATTCCGCACAGCGTAGCGCCCAATTCAGGAGAACATTCCACGTTATGGCGTTTCAAGACCTTTTAAATTCGATTATGTAACGTGTGCGAGATGTTTTACTATCGCTCGCCGCAGCGATCTTGCTAAATTAGTATCGCAAATCTTTCTGTTTAAAAATGTCATACACTATTTCTTTGTAAATGTAAGACATTTATAAAAAATTTCATCTTATATTTATATTCTGCTGTAGATACAAATTATATCTCTTAAAGAAGATTTGTTGGGAGATTTTTTTAATTCAAAATTTGAATTCTTTCATGGAATGGGAATTGTATATAAATACAGGATATCCCGGATTTATCACGCAACTTTCCAGTCCCCTAGGAAAAGTCCAAACTTAGAAAGACCAATTTCAGAGAGAGTTATAAGCGTCTGGGGATAAAACGACTTGGAAGAATTAAACTCCCAAAGTGTATACAGATAAATATAACTTGCTTGCAACTGATTTCTTATAGTTCAATCAAATTCAAGATATGTACGTATATGCCGTAACTATCTAAGATAGCTATTATTAATTGCTCATTATCTGACAAGATCTTTCATGAAATTTTCATCAAGCACGAATTCGTATTCCATCGGAGAATATGTGGTTATAATGGAGTATCTGTAATGCCGTGTATATTTTCCTAAGCGGTTGTTTCTAAACGCGCGTTTTTGACTCATAATTTTTACTTCTGTAACATTGACCAAGCCAATTCGCATGTTTATTCGTGTTTTATTCAAACCAGAATTTCGATTACGGTTACATGTGTTACTTCTCTACCCAGAGGGGTAAAGATAGAAGCCGCAATAAACTTATATAGGATTACCTTTGTAAATCTCTTCTCAAATCTGCCCATCTCGACGGCGCGCAGCGTCCTTTTGCCTTATAAAAACTAAATTCGTTGTTTCTTCTATTTGATTCCTATCCAACAAATCATTTAGGAGCGATTGAGCCGGGAAGATATCGATTTTATCACGTTTCGCACGAGAGCGTGATTTATTCCCCTCGTGAAAGATGTGTCACCTGAATTACGAAGCGATCGAATTATCCGCGATTTCAGGTAACGCAGAGTATTTTCGACGCAACCTCGCCTCGCCTATATCCATCTGGATTATTAAAATCCGACACCTGTGCTCCCTCCTTACGAATGAGCGTGTGTCCCATGCTACCGAGATAAATAATGAATTCAAATGCTTTTGCAGCGGATTGGTTACCATAACGACCGACTCGGCTGGCGTACCATTTGCATAACCACGACCTTTCGTCGTACGCCGCGTACGTACGTGTTCTTCCTTGTCCAATCAAAGCCCGACTTCCGATCCATCGGATGGTTCGTTTGAATAATGCATCGCGGGAAAACGTCGTGCTCCCGGAGGGTTTCCCGATCGTTTTCCAAACCGTTGTCGTACGAGGTTTCTATCGAGCTCGCGGAGATCTCATGAATGATTTTTTCCCGACATTACCCTGGGTTCTGAAAGCTGACATTTGAAAACACTCGCGGTATATTTCTTTTTAGCTTATTATGGAAAAACTATCGATTACTCTTCCAATTGTATCAATTAATTCACAATATTTGCGTATTAATCCGATTGTATGTATGGACGGCACGACGAATATCCTTTATTACATTTTTATAGCATCATAATCCCGTATAAATACATCAGATACGCGGAGTATTATATTCTTAATCCTTAATATCGCGCAAATATCATGTATGGAGAGGTCGCGATCTATATTTAACCCTTTGAGGTATGTCGAAGCAAACCACCCGGTATTCACGGCGAGTGTTCACGAAAAGAACGGGATAAAAAGCTTCCAATACTGCCTACGCCGCGCCGCGCCGCCGTCACGGATATCGATGTAATCAACGTCGGACGTTTCTCTCGCTCTAATAGAGTTTCGGATGAAATGTATGTTTAAAACGAAACTCTTGTAACTGACCTAAAAAACGGACGCTTCTTAATCAATGTTAGCGAAATTTTTACCGTGATATATTAATAAATATTCGTAAAAAGAATATTACATCTATATTTAGTAAAAGAAAGTGCTGTTTACCAGTATATTCTATATAATTACCTGCCTGGAGATTCATATCATATATATCTAATTATGGTATTTAGTTTTTGCACGCGTCGCTTCGGGGAATATGAAGGTACATGCAAAAGTAGATTTAATGGCTCGCTATTGCCCCGCCGTTGAATTTGCATTTTTAATTACTCTTCGTAACGCAATCTTCTTGATGCAGAGTTCTTGCGCACGGTCGCGCACGACTTCATCATTTATCTCGCCATTTTCACGTACTGCACATATATCTTTATACACTACACTTTAGAATAGCACATGAAGATACATATTTATGTTGCAGCGTCTCGCTTTTGTAGACGAGTGCTTTTAAAACATTTCTCCCATCTATCTCAAACGCCTGAAATTTTTATTCGCGCTCCTCTCCCCCACCAGAGAAAGCTATTTAAGGAATTATTTAAATTACTACGGCTCACCTATCTTTCCTCTTTCGTTCTTTTTCCCCGTTGTCACAGCATTTCGTCCCTCTCGTATTTCGCGTTTCGCGCTCGGGGAATCAAGATAATTATGATCGTCCACCTTTGACTTTTCTCCTCGCCGGTGAGTCAGATACGCGAATCAAAGCTCCATTGAAATTAACGTGCCACCTACACGTCTCGCTCTAATGTTTCGCACTAAAGTTTCACGCGGCGCTATTAAGTCACTCCTCCGTGCGGGAAACCGGGACGTACAATACGAATCGCTAATCAACAACGTGACGCGATAAACTCGGAAATTTTAGGCACCTTACTGAGAGCACCGACGCGGCTTTATTTTTATTCCGACACGTGTTGCGCGGGCGAACTAAGAAAACACGATGATATC